CAAATCAACATATAGGGCTTGATGGAAAAAGCAAGCAAACCCAAAATGACATATTAACATGATCATTTTTATAAATTAAAAATACATGCCTACAAAACAATGACGCCTATATTTTGTAAGAACACAAAAAGATAAACAATTAACACAGTGGTCTGTGGGGTGGGAGAGGGGATGAAAGGGCATGTAGGGATAAAGGAAACGACCCTTGGCCTAAGCCAAGGTTGATATGCCAAGAACTGAAGAGGAGGATGAGCGCAATCACCCGCACCTGAGCTGCCCTGCGGTGGCGTCCACATCATGAGCTGCCCCACGGCTGTCACAGCAGAAGCATCTTAGAGACACTGAAATCGATTCATGATTTAAGAGCAAGCAAAAGAGCAGGGCACCAAACCTCAGGCCCACTATCATTTCATTTGTTTTGAAAAACAAAAAAATCTATATAAATTGAAGAATGAGAGTGGCTGGTGGAATTGCAGTGATTCAAACATTTTTCTTCATGCTTTTTTCTGTTTCTAATTTGTCCTCAGTTACGGTGTATTGTGCAATAAAGGGAAAATGAGGGTTTTTTTTTTTAAAGACGACTTTTTGTTTTTACAAATAAAGAAGTCATTGGTTGTGAGAACTTACAGGTACTGAAAAAGGAGGCAGTCTTTTTCTAAGGCTTTGAGTTTTCAAATGCAAATAGTCAGGCTCAAGCTTCATGGCTTGCTCTTTCCTTTTCCTTGCGGACAGAAGGAGGTACAGCTGTGCTAAGGATCCCCACCTGAATGGGGCAGTAGGTTGGGGAGCTGGGACTCACGCTACACGGTGGCCCGCGCTGATGGGCGTGGCGTGGGCGTCCACAGGAATTGCCCTCAGTCCCGACAAGAGTAAATCTGTCTCCAGCCTGGGCAAGCCACTTCAGCACAGTACTGTTTAACACAGCGTATGTATTCCAAAGTGACAGAACTTTCAGGCAAAGGATTTTTATTTAGACAGGTTAGGGCTGGAGGATATGGTGATGCCAGCCTGACATATGGGGACTTGGTAGCTGCAACATGCTTGCTTCAGGCCTTGCAAACATCTTCATTCTTCACCTCCTGGCTGCTGACAGCCATCTCTGGGCAATCCTTAATCAAACAGATGAATATTTGCTAGAGCTTTTCAGCTTTACAATATTAACAGACTTTTTGGAAAGCCATGTGGGGCAATGACTAGTAACCATACGCGGCAGATCTTTCTTTTCCCCACATCTGAACAGGCTTGACTGGCATGTGAGAGTGTACAGGGAACTTCAGTCTTGGGAGCAGATTCCCCTTTTGAAGGGCTTGTGTGCATCAAGTACTGGGAGTGACTGCCATCCGCTGGTGACGTACAAGATGGTGAGCTTGGCGTTTGGACTGCACGGTCCCAGAAATCAGAGAGATGCTGCTGCATGTTTTCCTATGAGGACTGGTGCCAATGACTCCAGTCCGGGGTCTGAGGTGTCTGAACTGCCAGAGAACTTGAACGTGGGCGAGACTGACTAACTTGCAACATGCAAAAAGCAATGAAACTGAGGTTCAACAAAGCTGTGGTCATTTCTAGCTTTCCTAGATATATGAGACGTGGACATTAACTGGGGTAGGAGGTAGAGAAGGAGAGGTATAACACAAATGATTGTCTTGAAGAATGAGTTAAAAACATACTGGTAGGAGGAAAATTAAATTTAGAGAACTACCCTACCATTGAGTTCCTTAAGGCCTGGCCTAGATTGAAGGAAGCAAAGTTCTGTAGTTAAAATAGCTACACTTTTTCATGTTACATTTGTGTTGTGAACCAAAAAAGCTAGATGGGAAATGGCTTACTGATTAATTGGAACTAATAAAGAAGCCCTATTACAGAGAATGATTAGCTTCCTTGGCTCACGGTTTCCCACCAATAACCAAACTTGTAATTTTGTACCATATGATTTTTCTGCATGTAAAGAAAGAAAAAATGAGATGGCTTAGATCATTTGCCGAGGGACCTGGATCTGAATTCAAGTACATGACACCTGGTAATGATTAGAAAGGTCAAGAGCTTTAGACAGAAATCTAAACTTTTTAGAAAAGTCTGGATTCTAACCCAAGCTCTCTTTACAGGGTGTGCATCAAGCAAATTACATAGCCTGTCCGTGCCCGTTTCCTCATCTGTAAAATGGGGACGCCAACACCATCTGGTTTGAAGATTGTGTTAGGGCTCAAATGAGATGGAAGATGAAAAGCATCTTGCCCACTACTAAGCCGATGTATAGAAAGTGGACAATAAAGGTCAGGCTGTTTCCTTCCTTCCTGATGGTTTCAATGATTTTTAATTAGGAGGAAGGAGACAGGAAGGAGGAGAGGAAAAGAAAGATGAAACGGTAACTGATGGAGCAAGGTTTGGGGAGAACTCAAGGAAATGGCGTCACTGAGAAAGGACGGACACCTTTCCCCAGACTGTAGGGAAGGTGGTGAGTGTGGCGTGGAAGTTGGTAAGTTCTGCAGGCACGAAAGAAGGCTGGTAGGAAACACAGGAAGGAGTTAAAGGAAGACTTGATCGTGAAGGATGGAACATGTTTGTGTAAATTTAAAAAAATTAACAAACCATTCCACTCAACAAAAAGCAATCTGTAACAACTCATGCTTTCCATAATATAGAGTTATAGTCAGTAACATTTTGGAGATGGTATGGATGTGTGTATATGGGACAAAACTTTTTAGTCATTATCTTTTCATGCTAAATTTTTATTTCAATGTTATGCAACTGCATAAGTATAAATATTTGTTCAATATACAACAATTATGACATCCATAGGGAATTTCTTAGAGAAAATAAGACCACAAACACTTTATTGCACAGATCCTAACAAACTTTTAAGCTGGTAAATCTACAGCTGGGAGTTCTACCGAGGAGCACATCTTACAATCACAGGAGACGGACCAAATAGAACACAGGAGAATTTCTACCAGCTGATTGGAGAGGTTTACAACAACAAACAGGTATTACATGAATGCAACCTTAGGTACTCTTTACTCATCCAAAATGCAAAAACATATTTGGCAAAAATGATAACACACTATACAAAATATACATAAAAAATATCATTTGTAAACAAGCAGCTAGTTGTGCTTTAAAGGAAACTGGACAGTTGAAAAGCAAAGGCTGTAAACCATGAACTCCCGCCCCGACAGACCTGTCTCGATGTCTGAGTGCAGAAGGACTGCGTTACGACAACCGCCAGACACAGATATGAATTATAAACGTTGAGACCGCTTTTGAAACTCATTTAAGTTCTTGTAAAATATTTGTTTCTTCTACAACTTCAAAACATAGTGATGGGAAAAGGCTAAAACTACATGGGGAAAAAGATTAGGGGCAAGGAGACTTTCTTCTTTTTTTGCCATTGCCAACCTCTTTTCCAATGAAGGACAACCAGGCAGTAGGTTAAGTTATGCCTTTGTTTTTGGAGTGGAGTTTACAGCCTTGGTAAATGATTTACAATACACAGGGCTGTAGGATGATGCTGCGCTTAGATGAACAATTTTATAGCCTGAAGATACTAAGACATCCCCGGGGGGGGGGGGGTGCGGGGGTTGGGTGCTGGATTAGCATTTATTGGTAATTTTTTTCTCTCACAAAATAAAACCAAAAATCCTGCTCTGGATCCCAAGCAGCTTATAAATACTTATCTGTGTGTATTTCTCTTAGTGCCTTAGTACGTATGTCAGCAAGTGCTGTCTTACAATACAAAAGAAGCCACCAGGAAAACTGCAACAGAAAACAAACAAAAAACCCCATCAGCACTAAAATGATTTGACAAATTCTATATATTCCATGGTATAGAAAATTTAAATAAGGCTTAGCAAAAGTAAAAAGGACAGTCACATTCAAGCACCAAATAGCTCCAACAAGTCTTTTTGTTACAAAAATGCTGCTCTTTATTAATACAGTATTTTTTTGCATACAAATAAAGAGACCATGTTATGAAATGTATGGAGCTACTCGATGCATCAGGAAAGAATGTGAAACCCAGGAACTTGCTAAAAACAGCAAGCTTCATCTACAACATAAGGCCCCAGCTATGTATTAAAATGTATCTGATGTCCTGATTATTCCTTAATATATATGCTATGATGCCAAAATCCACCCCCCTTTTCCTCAAAAAAGCAAATTTAAATCCTCTTCCAATGCCTGATGCTTATTACTCAACCTAAGTACTAGCAGATTTGTGTGCAGCCAGTAATTTTCCTTTTTATTCAAAAGCAGGGCTGGCGCAGGACTCCTACAAACTGTGTGCTTTTTGGACTAGTGACTCATAGCATAAAGGCCTGAGTTTAAGAGCATGAGAAGGAGGGAAAGCAAGGGAACAGAAATGAAGTCACGTGTGTTCATAGCCCCCGTTCTACCTAGGGTGAAGACCGGACAAACACACCACAGACAAGGACAACTGGCCTTTCAGACAGTTGGACCCAGGATCAAAATGTCCATTACCACGACCGTGAAATGAAAACGGCTAGCTCCATTCTTCCAGCCATTCCTAATGGAGGAGGATTCCAAATGCAGCCATTAGAGTAATTCTTGCTTTAGATCTGGAAACACAGGGAGCCAGATACAGTACTACCAAAATCTCTGGTTAAAAAGACACATGAAAACTCACAATCTACTGTATTTAGGGCTTTCTTTCATCTTTAACTCTACTCAGAACGTTTTAACCTAGAAAGATGTAGCCTTGAAATATTCTCTTAAACCACAAAACAAAACACGTGGGTGGATGTGTACACACACGCACATGGGTGCAGCTGTTCTTTTACACACACCCCCCTGTAACCATTTTGTTTCCTTACTACATCATGATAGGTGGTAAAGCAAAACTCTTACTTAAAAAAAAGCTGGAGTAAACGACGCAATCAGCAGCAAGGTATTAACTCTACATCCCAAACCAAACACATTGCTAGATATTTACAGAGAAAATCTTTTTCCTCAACAACCCTCAACTGCAAAGGTTTTTTTTTGTTTTCTTTTGTACAAACACTATCTGGTAACAGTTTTACCGGTTACAATTGGGAAGGCATTTGGAAGTCCCCTCTTTCTTTCCATCGCTCTCTCTCTCCCCTTCTCAGTGAGGCTCCAGGCTCCGCCTGGCAGACGCGCCCACACAGTGCTGGTTTCACATGGTAGCCAAGACTCGGTGACACATTCAGGTGGGGTCTCCCCTGTCCCGTACGGTCCCTGCCTCATCACGAGGCCTTTTTGTGAGGGCTGCTCCGCAAGCTCTCCTTCCCCCGCCTCTGCCGTACCACAGAGTCCTTCTCGGAGGAAAAGGCGACGGGGCGGTCAGGGTTTGGAGCTGGGGACAGCTTGGTTACCTCCCTGCCCACATTCTGTTTCCTAGTCTGGGGAGGCTGGGCCGGGGCAGGCTCTTTCCCTTTGGTTTCTCCTACGGTGGCAGTTACCAAGAGGGCCCTGTCCTGGGGGCCGGCTCCCCCCGCCACGTTTGTGTTGGGGTGGTGCGACTCCAGACTGATGGTGGCGCTCCGAAAGGATGGCAAAGAGTCGCTCTTGGTCATGTGGGTTCTGCCATCGCCCCCAGGCAGGGACTTCCTATGGTCCCTGGTGCTGGAGGCTTCGGGCTCAGCCGTGGCCCCGTTGGCCCCGGCAGACGAGGTGTCACCGCTGGCTGCAGAGGCCTCTTGAACTCCGGGTCTGGCTTCAGGAAAACTGGAGGAGGAGCTCAGCGACTTCTCCGGGAGGCCGGCAGATCGGAAAGAACTCTGCCCGGTGGCTGAGGGCGACCGCTTCATGCCGCTGGGCTTGCCTGCCTCAGTCGGTGGCTTCTGGGGACCGAGCCCCTTCCCCTTGGCCTCCGGCAGGCCCTTGCCCGCCGCGGCCGGCCTCTCGGCGCCTTTCAGCCTGGCCTCGCCGGGCGCCAGGGGAAGGCTGGCCTCCAGCTTCCGGCCGTCCGCTGGAACATAAAGTGCTTCTGTGCATCGCTTCCCCTCGGCCTTCCTGTCTGTGGGCGTGGCCTGCGGACTTGGGCTCTTGTCTGTCTGTTTGCACAAAGTGGGGCAGTCTTTCACAGTGGATGGTTTGGGGTGCTTTGGAGACAGGTTTTGCTTTTCACTGACAGTGGGAAGTTTCTGGTCTACCGACTCACTAACCACTGGGTGTCCTTGCCGTGGCAGATGCACGGGCTTCTCCAGCATCTCCGGGGGACGCCCACCACTGGCAGGTTTCAGCTTAGTGTCTAGAGGACCCCCTTCGGTGTGCAGCGGGACTGAGGGCCCACCTCCTCCCTGGCCAATCGCATCACTGGCTGTGCTCCGGGAGCCTGGGAGGGCGGGTAACGCATCCAACATACCCTTACTGCTGCCCTTCCCCTCTCGGCTGGGGCCACAGGGGGGCTGAGTGCCAGGCTCTTTGCCCACCACAGGCCCAGTGCTTGGCTTCTGAGAGGAGAGGGGCCTGTCTGGGGGCTTAGACTTTGGAGGGCCCAGGTCCGGGCCAGGCCTGGGCTTGTGGCTGCTGCTTTCACTGTGCACAGCAGCAGGCTTGGGAGGCTCCTGGAGGCCCAGGCTGGGTTCTGCAGCACCAGGCTTGCTCCCCGGCTCTCTGCCTGAAGGGGGGCTTGGTGCACTGCAGTGCTGCCGAGCGGCCAGGCTAGGCAGTTCTTTGGTAATCGGTGGGGGCTGAGAGCTACTGCTAAGATGCTTTTGTAGAGGCTGTTCTTTCCTTTCTGGTTCCTTGGGACCATCTTTCTGCAAAGACGGGAAACCGGAGAGCTTTCCGCTCTTCCCACTCCCAGTCCCGGGAGGCTGCAGAGACTGCCTGGCAGGAGAGGCTTCAGGCTTGGGTTCCACACCACTTCTTCCCTTGCCCAGCTCCCTCTCCCAAAGAGGCCCCACTGAGTACAAAGAGGAGTCCTCCCTGGCCAGGAACCTCCCCTCATCTCGGCCATCTTTGTGGATCGTTTTCCCACAAGGCTCCCATGCTTTCTCCACGGCCTGGGTCTGTGTGTAGAGATCTGGGCAGGCCCTTCCTGCAGAGTGGAGATTTTTGGACTTGTCACTGGTCTTAGCTTCCGGAGGACGCAGCTCCACAGAGGGGTCTCTGCAGACGTCAGCCCTTGCAGCAGCCCGCTCGCTTCTGGCTGTGGAAGGGCCCCTCTCAGATGACTCCCTCAGGCCCAGCTTCTCCCTCGAGGGGGCACCTTCAGGTGGGAGGGGGCTGTGCAGCCTGGGTGGGTCGGCGACATGGAGGTTCTGCCCCAGGAAGGGAAGGCGCATAGTGTCGGGGCTGTGGTCTTGGTGCTTGCTGAGGCCGCCCTCTCTCCGCTGCGGATCATTTTCCGCGATCGTCACGGGGCCCCTGGCAGCATGAGAGACTCTTCTGTCCCGCTTCAGCTCTGGGTCGGGCAGGGAAGCTGCTGGTGCATTCTGGAGGCCCCGACTGGGTGGTGGGAACCGAGGCTCAAGCAGGTAGGATTTATTCATCTTAAAGCTGGCAGGGGAAGGCTCCCTCTGACCCGAAATTTCACCTTTCTTGCCCCCACTGCTGGGGAGAGCAGGTGGCACAGAGGGCCCTATGTCACTGCCCGGGCTGGGGCTCTGCGCAGGCTCTGGGGAAAGCAGCTCTGTCTTGGAGGCCTGAGGTCCAGAGAGGAGAGCAATGTCCAAAGTGCCCTCAATTGGCTTCAGGCATGACACAGACCTACCTTCCAGCTTGTACTCCGAGGGGCTTTTCCGGACAGGCGACTCAGGAGCAGCCAGTCCTGGCTTCTCTGCTCCGCCGTCCACCCGGCCAGCTAAGGCCTTGAGAGGGACAAAAGAGACAGCACTAATCTGAGCTGCGTGGGCGCCACTGATGAATGCCCGGCTCTCGGAGGCTGGCGGGGCCTCCTGCTGCATGGGCCGGACTGTGTTCCCAGGCGGGCATTCATGGCCACTAGATGTCATCTTGGGCTTGAGCACAGTGCAGAGGCCGTCATCTTTGTCTTCAAGTGACATCTTCTTTCGGAGGTAATCAATATTGGCCAGCTTGCTGTCTAACTTCTCACATCGGAGACACTCCTTGGCCTGGGGGGCCTTCTCCATGTTTTCCCCCTTCCCAGAGGTGGACCTATCAGTGGAGTGACAGAGACCGTCTTGGAGGGTGCCAGGAGCGGAGGCTCGCTTGAAGTCACAGGTGCCCTGGCCATGGTCCCCGGGTGCTAGGCTGTAGCTAGCTGCTGCCCCGTCTGAGGTGACGCCCTCACTGGCACGCACGCTGGCCTGCTTGTGAAGAGCATCTTTCAGCAGACTGCCCAGGGACTGGGCCTCCGGCATGGCTGCTTTGTTTTCAAAATGATTTGACCTTTCTAAAGCCTTTGGATGTATTTTCTTCTCTCTCTCTTCTAGCCTAAAAGTAGAGAGGTTTTCCAAATCACTACCAAGTCCGTGGGATTTCTGGTGGGATTCTTGCTTCTCTGGGAAGCCGCCTGCTTTCTTCACCACCACCTTGGCCTTCAGCTTCTCTCGGTCCACGTCTTCCATGGACTCCTGCCTTCCCAGCTTCCGGGAGACGGGGCGTTTCAGGCAGCCTTGTTCCACAGGCCGGGCCCGGGTGAGCGAGGGTGCGTCACACACGTTCTCCTCCAGGCTCTGCAAGGTCACTTCCCGCTGGGATGGCTCCCGCTGCACCTCCTCCTGGGTCACCTCCAGGCTGTGCTTGCGGGAACACAGGTGCTTCTTGTCGCTGCCATAGGCGGGAGAGAGCTTCTCCTCCGACTGCACGCGCTTGAGCAGCGGGGACCGTGGGGGCTCTGCGCTCTTGGGCCTCACGATATGTCTGACGATGGTGGGAGGGGAGTGCATCTTGCTAGGAAAGGCTTGAGCGATCTTGGAATTGCCCAGTGAGTGTCCCAGCAGAGGTGACGGTGACCGCTGCGGGGAGGTGGGCTGTGGAGTTGGAGAGGGTGTCCGGGCCAGGGGGGAGAGCGGGATGTTGCCAGCTGACTTACGCCTTCCGGACCGGTATCGCTGCCCACTGAGCTTGGGGGCCAGACCATGGAGAGTGCTGGGCCGGATGTGTCCTGACCCTGCTGGGGAATTGGGGGCACTGGAACTTGGGGAGCTGCTCTGGGAGGAGTTGGTACCTGTGGGTGGAAAACAGAATGCTGTGAGCAACGGCCACCTTCCTTTTTCTTTCCATGCTTCCAGCCAAACTGTTTTAGGTGAGGTCAGGTAAAGGTCAGCAAATTGCCTGGGCATCTAATTCTAATGAATAAACACTTTTCAGATAAACCTCCCCCACTCCACGGTTGAACCCAATACTTCCTGTCTTATTTTAATGGTCCAAAGAGCCATATCTCATGACCTCCCTGTAAATCCTGTTCTCTGTCATTTATGTCCTCAGCCTTCTTCCTTAAGTTGGAATAAGCCTCATGTCTTTCAGAATCTCAGGGGGTGACTCTGACCTCCTCTCAGCTCTCCCTGCTGTCTAGGCCAGGACCCTCACTCACCAGATGGGAAGTCGGGGGTGGAGCGATAGCTGGGCGTAGGGGATCGGGGAGACAAGCTGTGAGTGGGGGACCCCGGGAGGCTCTCCCCTGATGACAGGGATCGATTCAGACAGGAGAAACTTCGGCTGGTGTGGAGTAAAGGAGAAGGCTGCTTGGCTAGTTTTTTGAAAAGGGATCTCCTCCTAGAGCGAAAACAGGAGACAACCGATCAGACTCTGCACTCAGAAGCACCCCTGCCTCCTGACAATATCAGTGTTTTCAGTTCACACCTCTGTCAGTCATATGATGAAACAGTGAAACAGTGATACGATGGTAGATCCTACTAAAGAGTAGGATCCCACTTTTAATATAAAAACATTTTTATGACTTAGAAAGGAAGAGTCTTTGATGTATACAATGGAAGCTCTCTTCTCTTAATTCCAAACACCTTAAAAAGAGCTGGGAAATTAGGAAAAATATGAAATATATTAAACATATATTCATTTATTTACTTGTCAGTTTATGAGGAGAGTGTTCTCCTGAAAGCTTCTTAGTAGGGAGCCCTACACACACTGACACAATTTAATTAAAAGATAACACAACGTAAATCTCTGGAAGAAAAACCCTCATCTTGGATATAGAATTTTTTTTTTTTTTTTGTGAGGAAGATCAGCCCTGAGCTAACATCCATGCCAATCCTCCTCTTTTTGCTGAGGAAGACTGGCCCTGGGTTAACATCTGTGCCCATCTTCCTCCACTTTATATGGGAGGCCGCCACAGCATGGCTTGACAAGTGGTGTGTCGGTGCGCGTCCGGGATCCGAACCCGGGCCACCAGCAGCGGAGCGCGCACACTTAACCACTACGCCATAGAGCCAGTCCCTAGAATTCTTTTAATTGTGATATTGGGCAGAAGCTTTCTCTATGAGGGGCTGTTTGCTGTGCTCATTCCACGGTGGGCTCGTGAATATTCCTAGCGACATTGTAAGCTGTGCATTTACATGGAAAAAATGAGAATGGTGAACTGAAGCTTATCACAGTAGCAGGGCAAAGACACCACGCTGCAGCAGATGCAAATGTGATCTAGCGCTCAACAAGCACATCTTAAAGCCCAAAGCGCAGCTTCAGGCGGCTTAGAAGTGCAGGTGGCTGCAGAGTTCCTTCACATCACGTGAGCCTGACTCACCCCCGGGGAGCTTAAGCAGAAAGTCTAAACACTGCCACCCCTCCAAACCTATATGACTTAAGGCACAGTAAAAACACAAAGCATGCGTGCACACACACACACACACACGAGGGATCTCAGAATTCATGTGCGTGCATCATTTTAATCAAAGTAATAAATGTCCTTGGGTTAAAAAGTCAAATAGTTTTATAAACGTACAATGAAAAATAGCAACTCCCTACTCTGCCATTTGCCCAGTGCCCCGAGAAACCACGTTCTACTCCTTTAGTTGTTCTCTCCCATTGTCTGCATATTCCTAAGTAACAAGCTTACAGTATTTTGTAGTTTTCCAGTTTTAGAGATTATCTGTTGACTTTGTACCACAGAAGATGAGAATTAAGCTCTTACACTACCCCTTCCACCTCCTGACCACATGCACTTCCTCTTTTCTATTCCTCCCAATAGAGTTAAACCCAAATTTTTGGTTAGAAACTGATGTTTTTTTATTTCACATTATAAATATTGCTCACAGCTGGGCCATGTAAAGCATAGCTCTATTTCCTTTCTTGTATAAATTTGTCTTCCTGGAGTTAATAAGCATTCCTTTTGCATTTGCTTATTTTTCTACATTTCTGTCATCAAAAATCCTCTTAATATGATCAGGCACACCAGATCCAAATGCGTAAAGGCGGGATGCCGCGGCATCATGCCGGGAGCACGTCCAGACAGTTGCCCGGCAAGAAATGTCCCCAGCAGAAGCACATACCACATCTTGCCAGCGTCTGCAAAGAGCACAAAAAGATACTCACGGTGCCTCCCAGAGCAAACATGGAACCGGGTCAGATTTTCAGTCAGTAAAACAAAGCCCTTTTATTTCTAGGTTTATTTGGTTTAAAGATATAGTTATTTTGGAATATCTAGCATTTAAAAAATAGCAACTGTTTGTTTCTAGATAATGTAAAGGACATTATTAAATGTAGATTTAATGCTAAAAACTGCCTGAAGGTCCAGTTCCTCAGGTCTAACTCAACTGAAATGAAGTCTAGAGGATTAAGAAGCAGCAAAGGGCTTTTCCTGGTCCACACACACACACACACACACACACACACGAAAAAGCAATCTGAATCCCTCTACAATGTAACTCTGTGAATTTTTTCACTATGAAAAATAATGCTATTGTGAACATGAACTTGAACGTATAAATGTAAGTGAAGCGCAGCCTAAAACTCCTCACCGAGAAGTGGGTCTTCCCATACGTAATTAAGTAGGGAGTAACCTTCCTCCAGCCCGGTATATGCCACACTCACACAGCACGCTGCTCGAACCAACCTTTCCAGGCTCTCTTTCTTCTTAGACTTCTTGCTCCGCCTCACCATCCGGCTCTTATAGCTGTTTCTCCTGGCTGGTCCCGTTTTGATTGACGTGTTTTCAAATGGGGTAGTAGTGATTGACACCTTATTTCCGCTCTGTAAACCAAATGGGGTGGTATTAAAGGAGAGGCTAGGATGAAACAAGATGAGAACAGAGATGGGAGATTCAAAGACGATCAAGATCCACAGGGACATACACACAGAAGGCCTTCCAGTTCTGAACACCCCTCGGGCAGTGAAGTCCCGATGGAATACAACTAGGGGAAGGCAAACCGTAAGGTTTCTCTAAGACGGTGGGCTCTGGGCTCCAGCGGCCTGAGCTCCAGTCCGAGCTCGGTGACCTGAGCAGGTTGCCTCTCCTCCCTCCGCCTCCACTGCCTGTACTCTCTAACAGTGGAATCGCACCTCTCTCAGAGGGCTGCATGGGACAGGGCTGGTAAAGCCTTTGACACCGGGTATGACACATGGAAAGGGCTCTATAAATACAGTTCTCTTTATCCGTATGTATTAAGGATAAATGTGCCCAGAGGCTGTCTGCTCTTGGTTGATTTATTTTTCTTTTTCCTCCTTTTTCTGTTTTCCCTTTGACCTAGAAATCATAGAGTAGCAAAATTGAAGGCGACTTTTATTTTTAATTATTTTAAAAGGTTCCTTTTCTATCACCATAAAGCCTGTCAGCTTGCAGAGCCGGAAAGTTTATGCCAGCGACCACGGAATAACCTCTCTTCAACCAGGTCACACATGGTGAGGTGATTCCTGGTGGCCTTTTGTGCCCTTTCACTCGGTCATGGGACAGGGGCTTGCTGGGCAGGCCCTGGGGACGGATTTGAGAGTGGAGTCAGAAGCCAGGCTGAGGGGGTTCTGGGGGTGCCCAGGGCAGGTGGGGAGGACTGATCCCTTTCACTCTGGCATCAATGACGTCTTCTTGAATTTTTTAATAACCAGGGGAGAAACATGTCGTTTCAAAGTCACACATGGCCCTGATTACCTTCAAAAGACAAGAAGTCTAAGGAGTAGGGCCTTTTAAAAGGTCTATGCCTGGAAGACATCTAGCAACTCAGCTCTAAGTGGTCTTAAGTGATGGCAAGTTAAGTACAGAGGGGGCAGGGGACTGGAAAAACAGGCAGTGACTGTTTTAATACTAATACCTACTCCCCCCCAATTTGAGAAGTAACACGTGCCATTACAAGAAGAAAACAGTAAAGCATAAATAAAAAAATAAAAATCATTGAGAAGCCTACCACTCAGCTGACACTGGTAATATTTCAGTATATTTCCTGCTGGTCTCTCTTCAGGCATGTATAAATTATGCACATATATAGCCATAATTTATAAATAATTTTAATCTTAATTAATCTACTATTTAGTTTTATGTTGTTTTTTCATTTTACATTACATAACTTTGAAAAATTTTCCCCTCATCATTGAGTATTCTCTAAGAACATAATTTTTATTGTCTGTATAATAATATGCCATGAGATGAGTGAGTCAAAATTTAACTATTTCCCTACTGCTACTGTTTTCTACTTTTTAATTCTTATAAGAGTTGAAATAAATATCCCTATCTACAAATCATTGTCCTAACCTTTGACAGTCTCCTTAGATTATGTAATCAGACAATACACTGAATCTAAAGGTCTATCTGAACTCTTTAAAGACTCTTGGTACCTACTGATATGCTATTTTCCAGAAAGTTTATGTCAATATATACTCTTGCCAGCAGCACATGAGTACCTATCTTCACACAGGCTTGTCAGAACTGAATATTAACATTAAAAAAATTATCAGTTTCATAGAAAAAAGTTATATCGAGTTTCAATCTTCATTCTTGGACAACTAACAGGCTGAATGTTGTTTCATTTATTTTGGTCATTTGTATTTCTTCAAGGAATGATTTGTTCATGTCCTATATCCAATTTAGTATCCGAAAGTCTTTGTATTTTATTATTGATTTTAGAGTTCTTTATATATTTAAGAACATATAATCCCATACCTAAGGTCATAATTGTAAAAGAAATATTTGGGGGAAATTGGATTTGAATGTGAACAAGAAAAAAATATATTATTTTCATTCTGAAATAAATTATATGTTCTATATGCAAATGACAAAACTTAAAAAAAAAAAAACCTTTATCTGATAGAAGAGACTGACATTCCATTTATTCTTTAAATGGAAAATTCAGCTTATGAAAGGCCTACTGATGAAAGTTGTTTGAAATGGTGTCTCCTCTTTACAAATTGAACGAGGGAAGCCATGCTAAAATTCTAGTTTTTCCTATATGCCTTGGGTGAAAGAAAAGGGCAACAAATGTGGGTGGAGTTCATCTTCACTGAAGTTCTTTCAATGCTTTTCCACATTCCTGCACAGAGTGGACACAGAGCCGTAGTGATCACGGGGGCGGCTCTTGTTCATGCGCCCCGAGCCTGAATCCAGTCCTACCCTTTCCTAACACAACTCAGCTTTGACATTCACATCTTTATCTATAAGAGGCTAACAATGCCACCTGGCACTTTAAAAGCACATTTTGAATATTATTTTTCACATATATTCTTTTACTTCATTTTCACAAGTCATGAGGGTTGTATTTTTCACAACCTTATGAAGTGGGAAGGGATTGTTATCCTTGCATTATAGATAAAGAAGACAGATTCAGAGACAATGAGATTCTTCTTTCCTAAGGTCACAGAGCCCAGTAGAAGAGCCCAAACGTGCCTCTCCTGCCCCTCCCCCAGTTCTCACTCCTCTGGGCAGGGCAGGCCCTGATCCTCCCCTCTCTTGTCCCAGCAGAGTACAGGCTTGTATTTAATGAGTGGTGGTGAGGGGACCAGGCACTGGATTGACAGGAGGAACAATCATAACATCAGGTTGTAAAGAAGAAATTTAGGAGACGTAATAGCATCATAAACATTATATAAAATGAATATCGTATAAATGCTGAACATTTCTCACCAGAAAATAGTTACGCACAGGGCTTGCTAAATCAGAGCACATCACTAGGCTCTGTACAAATGTCCCCTTCCCCTCTAAAAACCAAACCCAGTTTTCTCGTTTCTACACATGGCTGTTCCAGAGGACAGTTCACCTGACTTATGGAAATACACCAAGAGATAATTTCCCTAAGGGAAATACAGACACGAAAGATGCTGAGCGCAAATATTTGGTTAGAAACGTCAATAAATATGAAAATGGTAAATGACTGGACAAATAACTTGAGAGAGAATAGGTGAGCAATCTCAAGCCTGCCACCTGGTGGATCCATCGGCTGTAGCAAGTGTTGCCTGACCTTGGTGCCATGTGGCTCCCTGGGCAGCTTAATCCTCAATCAATTCTTTTGGAGAATGAGCAACCTCTCATCAGAGAAATTCTGCGGCACTTGTTTAAAAAATAACAAAAAATGGGGCCAGCAGTCTGCTAAATGTTCAATTAGTTCACTTTTACTTTAACCTCTCTGTGTGATTAGTGCATGGTGGGACTGGCCGCACTGAACACAGTAGCAGAAGTCAGGCTACCCAATCCCTTCTCTCAGTCTGGGTCCACATTAGCTTATCAGTTGGCCTCGAGTAACTCATTGAACTGGACTATTTTTACATTTCTTTCTCTGCAAAACGCACAGGGGGAACGGTGCTCTTCCTGCATAGCCGCGTCCTTGCCCTGATTCACACCCTCCACAATCCAGGCTCAGCCTCCTGCATGCTCCATCCCACATAGGAACCCAGGCTCTAGCCACACTGGTTCACTTACGCACCTCAAGTACTTTGAACTCTGCTGCCCTTGCATTTTTACGTACCCTCTTTGATCTGCTGAGAGTACCCTGCACTCCCTTCCCATATACTAAATCTCCACCCACCCTTCACGTCCCTGCACAGATAACCCCCAACTCTTCATCCCTGGCCACCCAGGTGGAAAGCCACCTCTCTTTCAGAACTTTGGCCATATTTACAGTCTGTTCCTTATGTTTAACACTGTGATTGTAGCCTGGTATTGCCACTGTTTTCTCCTGTGAACACGGGACTGTCAGTTACTGGCAATAAGAGAACTTCCCGTCTGGAGCACTATGGGGTAGCAGTGGAAAGCGTGGGCTCCAGAGCCACGCTGCAAACCTCTTCTGCTCCTTCCTAGCAGATACGCTGGGGCTGCTTTGCTAACTTCCCTCTACTTTAACTTCTTCACCTGTAAAATGGGGACATTTATATTTACAGCCCTTATCTCACAGGCTGTGAGGATTACATGAGTTTATTCGTGTGAAGCACTCTCTATCACCTCTTACTCTGATGTGCCATTTTTTGGGTGACCTTTCAGTACCTGGCACAATGCTCTGCACATTTCCGGAGCTCAGCAAATACGTGAGGATGGGAGTGCTACTATTTGATGGCTCCCATTTTTCAGTACCCAGAGATTCCTCAGAGTTCACAGAAAGGAAATTTTTGAAGCAGGGGCAGGAGAAGTTTCAGGGCTTCTCCTATGCATTGGGGATTTAAACTAATACCATCCTAAGAAAGCAATCTGGTTGAACAAAAAGTTTCCTGGATTAGAGAGGTTCAGCCAGGCAGTTTATCACATGAGCAGGGGGAGGACTGGGTCAATATAGCCTCCACCCACCACTGCAGTGAGTGGAGAAAGATTTCAGTGCGTTTAGGAAGTTCTTTTACAAAGATTAATGCTACCCAAAAAACAAATGCCTGGTGACAGGAGAGGTTTGAGGCAAAGCTGAGGAGCACATTTTAAGGGATTCACAGAGCCAATGGGGAGTTGATCTGGATAACCATGAGATTCTGTAATTCCACAGAGCCAGGATGCTAAGCGACTCGAGACGAGTTTCCCTGAGCACGTAAGTTAGTGCTTCCGTAGCAGGCTCACTTTGAAGTTGTGAAGACAAATGAGACTAAATGTGAAGACATGAAACACGGAAAATGCTTACTATGTTCACAATCCAAAAGATAAGTAAGTATTATACACGTATTTCTAACGTAGACACACAGCCCTAGCTGATGGTTCCTCCAGCTTTTTCTAAGGGTGCCATGAGATCTTTCAAAGTAGTCTGCAAGTATAAAACATCGTGTAAACAGCATTGAAGAATACCAAAATGCAGCTAGTACTCTGATGTTCTGCCAGTGATGGCACATAGGAGCCCAGTGGAGACACTAGTCACTTTACACTTTGTCCAAGAATCGCTGGTTAAATGTAGAAGAAAGCTGCATGTTTACACAGTTCGCTGGGAAGATAATTAAATCCCTTGTATCCTCTCTGTGTCATTACACTGGTTACTCCTCTTGAGTGCTTCCTTACACATCAGAGGCAGGATGCTCTGCTTGGATCTGTGACAGAGCACGCCACAGCTTCGGAGGGTGCCAACGGCTCTCCATACAGCATGTTTACACAATTTCAGAGACACACATGGACTAGACCCAGGAATGAAGGCACTCCATAACCAGATGAGGGCAAAATGTTATAAATGAGGTCATTTGATTCTGCCAAGAGATCTTGCCAGAGACCTTTAGAGGAAATGTACATTCAAATTTCATAGAAGCAGGAAGAGAGGTTTTAAAATCCAGAGTCATATTAAAATACTTTATAAAATAAATCATAAAAATGATAAATTATGTCCAGCAAAACACACAATTATTTTCTAAGGACATATATTTCAGTTTATTATTTCTTCTTCTGATTTTATGAGCAGATAGAGGAAATGATGCAGGGCTATGCTGTGGCAGGACCCACGCTGCAGATAACACAACACTGTCATAAAGAACGGAGAGGGCAAACGTGTCACCATTTAAACCCCCTTTGACCTTTTAATTCCTGATGCCAAGATTTGGAAAAGCTCTGGTAGGATGAATAACAACTAAGAGAAGCTCACCTATGAAACGCAGACTTATTATCTAAAACGAAGGGTCAAGGTGAGCTCCTAAAAAGCTCAAGGAACATCTTAGAGACAGATAACACCCTCTGCATGCCTACCTTTGTGGTCCCTAACCAATGGGAAATGCTTATATACAGATACAGGAGACAGAGGGAAAAAACCAAAAACTTCTCTGGTCTCTTACTCACAAAGGGCCGATCTGTGAGCCAGCGACAAGGCACCCGGGACCACGGGATCGGGTATTGTGAGGGAAGCAGCTAGCCAGACTCAGGAATCTTTGTATCTCTCCTTGACTTTGTCTTGGGGAGTCTGAGGTCATTTCAGGTGACTTTCACAGCCAAGGGATCTCAAAGTCAGCAATCCTGCTCTGTTTCCCATTTCTTGGACATTTACTCTGAGAGAGTAGTTCCATGCCAGTTGGAAAAAGAATACTATCAGAGACAGATGGTGAATAAAACTAAAAAACCCAGGTCTTATCTACATAGGTATCAGAACTGGCATTTGTCTCTACTCAGTAGCCGTATTGTGAAGTGTAGATTAACTCCAGCCATCTTAAGGCTTTTACTACCAAACTGAATGGCATGTACAACACGACATGAGTCAAGACACAACAAAAGTAGTCGTGAGGTACTTGGCTCCTCCCATGGTAACTTCTGGACAGCAAGCAAAGGAGGACCCCAGGGTTCACCTTAATTCCATGAATATTTATTGAGTACCACCTACATATATACCAGGCACTGGGTAAGTGCTGGGACAACGTGGGAAGCTTTAACAGCAACTCCCCGTCTCTCCCGTAGAGCTGCTGTCAGATTCGCTGTGTTCGGCATGACCATAGGCTGATTTCCAACACAGCCTACGGCTCTGCAGTGTTCTCTCAACATTCAGTTCTACCCCTCCAGTGATCAATAGCATGTCTTTGTGAGGAAGTTGGCCAGAGTCAGGGGAAAGCCCTGTGGGTATGCCAACAGCAAAGCCAGCCCCCAACCTCCAAGGGGCCTGAGCCCAAGACCAAAATCTCCTCACTGCTGTGAATTAATCAAGGGCAATAACTCTTTTACAATCTACTACTTCACACTGGACCTTTGAATATACATGCTATTACTACACCCCAAACCTGGATCAGACCCTGAAGCTTTCAAAGAACACGCTTGTGTTGGCTATGGAATGACAGAGAAGGAAAGAGAAAAGTCATCTAACTGCACTTACTTTTGAAATGCTTTATATACCCACTTCTCTAGAGTACCTTCCAAATTCCTAATTTTCTTTCAAGTTCCAGTTAAATATTACTTCCCTGTGATATCTCTCCCTACTCATAGAACATTATCTCCAAAGTATGACAGGCCTCCCCTTGTTAAGCCCTGACTGTAAAGTTGTCCTTTATCTACATATAGACATCTCCTACATCTCCCATACTTCTCAAGGGCAAGGACCATACTTTAATTCCTGTGTTACCAATGTCACACTGTACCTGCCTCACAGTGAGTACTCTAGAAACAGTCTCTCCACGGGTGGTATTCAAATGACATATATGTGTTGATGCTTTATTTCCCTAAATAGGCTGTAGGTTATTTGAAGCCATGGCTCACACCTCTGTCTGGTACCCCGGACAGCCCCTTACAGTGCTGATGAAGCAAGAGGTCATCCAAAGCTATTGATTTGTAAAACAATCCTACAACTAGAGACTGCATTTCTGACCACAGATAAATTAGTCTTCTTTTTGTGAAAAAATTCAAAATCGAACTCAAATTCACCCTTACTTGTTTCAACCAGATCCATATTTGGAGCTATAACTTTATATTCTACAGTCAGCAGGTGGCAAAGCACACAGCAGAACCGAGAGGATCGGTGTAGACTCTCTCTCCACTCACATTCATGCTTCTTTTGAGCCTCTGACCCACAGGCTTTATTCAGCTTACATTTCAAATAGAAACTGATCTCCATTCAAATTCACTGGCATGAGAGGGGGAAAGGGCTCATAATTGCTGGAACCCCCTCTTCCATCACCACCTATTTCTATGATTTACAACATTTGTGTATATTCACAATTCTATCTTTCAAAGGAAATCCAAGTCTCAGACTAAGCTTTCAGATCAGACCCCACAGTTTAATATCACTTTGTCTTCCACTATACTAGAATAAAACCACTGAATGTTCCTGAAGAAAATCACCTTTAGAATACGTGGTTTCCAAACAGATTTTACTATGTAAGGTACTTAAAGAGAACTTACTATTTATAATTTAGAATAAGAAGCAAAATTAAATTAGGAAGTGATTGTGCAGATATAAGGACGTGTTTTTCACAACAGAAAAACAGAATTCACGATATCTTTGTCTTTACATTAAACTACAGACTACTCAAGACTTTCTCAGTAATACGACTGTGCGTGTATGGGTGTGCCACAGAGACAAACTCTGGAACTCAAGCATAGAACTCTGGTCCTAGTCCTTTCTGGCCACCGGCCTCATCTGTATGGCCACGACATAAAAAGGACAATACCTTTAGCAAGAGCTCTATCACTTCTGTGTGGACAAGCCCATGCACCGGTTCTCCATTGACGTGTGTGATCAGGTCCCCAGCCTTCAGTCCCGCGTGGCATGCTGGACTTCCTTCTTCTACATTCTACAGTCCGAGAGGAGAGTATATATTCGTAAGCAAATAAATGACGACCCTAACGCCTACTGTTTCTACTGGCAGAATATTCTGAGTTAATTAGCAAATGATCCTAAGCTCCTAAGAGAAAATCCGAAAGCATGGTTAGCATTCCTATTCTGCCGTCACCCTAAGATAGGATAAATCCTATAGTTCCTTAAAACATTTCAGGTGATTTGAGAAGGTGTTTTTTTTTTTTTTTTAAAGAATATCAGGAAAAAAAAACTACGGAAAACAGGATGGAAATAGGACTGTCTCTGACTATTTCTACCAGCTTGGTACAGAGAGTGGACAATCAAATATGAAAACTGAACAGAACTATGAGAAAGGATTCGTTTTTGCTAAATTCAATTCCAGCACATAGATAAAGGGAAAGAGCAGTAAAAGGAAGGGGAACAGGTCCCAAATGGCAGCTTAACAGAAAATACATTTGCTGTTAACTACGTCTCAGCCAACTTGTCCATTTTCCAGTTTTGCTGGGAATGAAAACTAATAAGAATGAGAGACCGTGGGTCTTACCCAAACGATATGGTGCACTGTGTAGATGTCACTGTCTCCCACGTACACCCGGATAGCACGGATGGTGAAGCCATAGTTCTTTCCTGAACTGTGGATCACAATGGGCTGATGGGGACTGGCAGAAGCCCCTGAAGAATCTCGGCTGGGAGAGGAATCCCGTGAAGAAGAAGGGTCCGAGGACAGGGAATGGGGAGACATTGGGCTTCCCAGTGGAGACACAGCAAACATATCTGCAAGAAAGCAGCCAGCCATCAATGCTGATCCTGGTCACACCAACACCCACGCAGCCAGCCCTCAGCATGCCAGCCCTGTCAGGAAGGGAAGCATGGTCACAAAACAAGTCCATTCGCTTCTAATAGCAGAATAAACAAGAAATAGTATAAAAATATTTATATTGGTAACTAGCATGGATTTCAAAACAGAAGCCTGTCAAGGAAACTTCAAAAGTTCTCTATTTTAATTACTTTTTCAATTAATACTCTAAAATCGTAATTTCTTAGTTTTCTGCACTAATTCAAACACACAAAAAACTTAGCTACCATCTGGCTGTGATATTTTTATTTAATTCATTTTATTTTAATTAAGGAAACAAAGCATAGATGCACGGATTTTCAAGCACACCGTCACACAGAGGACTGTATGGACCACAGTAAAAGATCCTCCAACTCCAAACCTTGCCCTAAACAACTTTAACATGGTCCTTTTCAAGCACACATGACCAGGACAGCAATTTTCAGTTTACCAGCTGCTTTCTACATTATTATTGAACTACTACTGATTAAAGAATTTGATCAAGAAAACACTGAAATGGCAACTGTCTATACAAAAATCACTCCTTGTTACTATGGTTACAACTGATTCTGCTCATATATTACCTGCAAGTCTTAATAAGGTTTCTAAGAGGATAATGCAGGTGAAATAGAGAAATTTTAAGAGAAACTCAGTTCACGTTCCAAAATACCAACTCTCTGTTTTCTTTGTTTTATAAGCAAACACACTTTTAATTTATAGTTTATATCACTGTTTCATCTATGTGAATCTAACCAGATCTTAGCTGGTCATGTGAAATTGTGTGTGTTTGAGAAAAAGAATCATCTCCAAAAGATGCTGAGGTTTAAATGTGAGCTCAGCCGGAGCCAGGCTACAGAGTGCCCAGCGCTATTGAAAACTCACCAGTTGTGGTGAGGACCACTGTGGCCACAGTAAGCTGAAAGTATCCATGCTACTATCATTGTTCCAATTCTTATGTCTGTCCAAAGTAGAACAAAGCTAAATGTGTCACTATCCATGCTCCTTCACTCTCTGGCTTCATGTGACATCTTGGTGCTCTTTTGCTGGTTACCTTCTGTCTAATCCAGAGGCCAGGTGAAGAGACACACACTGGTGGGCAGGGGACTTCAAAACATGCAAGCAGGAAGGGACCAGGTGGACACACATAGACCCAAACTGCTGAAAAGCCAGGCCCCCAATCCTGTACCTCATGACGGTTTCCCTTATCTCTCCAAAGTGAGTAATTTCTCCACTTTACCACAGTGTGGGCTTTCAAAAGTGAACTGGACCCCATCACACCCACCTTCCTGACTGTGGCTGCACTGAGACCTCTGCCTTCGGGTACGAATAGTCATTCAAACTAGGGAGACACGTGTTTGTTTTATGGTGCTAAACGTGACGTCTCCCAGAAAACAGAATATGCTCGAGTGAGCCTTACCCCCAAATGAGCATTTGTTTATATCCAATTTCTTTCTGCACAAATTTGAAATTTCAAAAATGTAAACAATCTCTTTTATACGTGGCCTGTATTCTTCCAAACGCAAGCCATCTGCAATATAATTCATTTGCCACTTCCACTCTCCTGCTGTCATTTGAGTGATAAGTCACAACCACCGGGGTGTGTATTTCATCTCTGCCAGCGGAATTACTATAGACATCGTGATTCATAGAGGCAAAACCAGGTTGTGGAAAAACACTGCAATTCAACAAAACCATAATTAAGCGCAGTTTTCTAATATGGGGCAGAAAATGATTTGACTACCAGTAGGAGGAAGCAGAGCTCAACAGACAGGGCTGGGAGAACTTATCACCTCAGTGCTGTGACTCTCTGCATCCCCAGAAATGAAAAACTTCTGTCCCTTCTGCCTATTTCCTCATTAATTAGATGAGAAAAACTATACTTAGCTTTCCAACACAGATGCTGTAAACAGCTCTGTATAGTATATAAATGATGCATAGTCTACGGAAGAAAAATTATTCAGGGGAGGGAAATTTATCACTTAACTTGGAGGGGAGAAAAGAAAAGGCAAGAAAACAAATAAAGAAATAAGGCTTTGTGCCTCATCTCCTGATGCAGAAAGAACAAGCCACACATGCTCCCGGGGAGCTCCAGAGGTCCTGCAGGGAGATGCTCAAGGGAGCTGTGCCAGGATACCCCCTACTCCTGCTTCAAGCCATCCTGCATCTCAGGCAGCATTCCATGGGGTGGGGGGACACATGCACAAATCACACAATTTCATGCGAGTCGATGTCTCTCTACCTCCTGGGATCATGAGGGACAGAGCACTGGCAGAAAGGGATTTTGTGACTTTCCCCGAGATTTTCTTTTTTTCTGTGCTTTCTAACCGCTGCCGAGCCATGTGAGAGGCGGGTTCACTGGATGGCTTTGAGGAATTATCTGTATTGTCCACACACTCGCTTCGTCCATTTATCTGATCCAAGTGCTCTGAAAAACTGCCAACTGTACAAAGAAGAAGGGATAAACATGTTCAGGAAAATCTGGGATAGGAGAGGTGGGGAGAGGGGAGAAGAGAGAGAAGGAAGGACAGAGGCTGGAAACACACTCCCACGCAGCTCCGGAGTCCTCAGAGAGTCAGGCAAACATTAACAACACATGACTGGTTTGAGAAAGGTGACATGGAGGAGGAAAAGACAAAAGTGGTGTCCACTCAGGTTTCATTCTACTTGTAGACAAGTCTGCTAATTCTCAATCAACGCCTCCATTTAACGAGGAGAATAATTACTTTCTAGAATCTATATTTTACAACCCTTATAAAGACAACTCTTCTCCCCCATCATGAAAGGCCATACTCTGAACCAAACATCACCTTATGAACACCACGACTGCCCACTGTATACTAGGATTACCCTACGTTACTAATGATCATTATTAGCAATGCTGTTAATAATGGTTTTTTGACTGTGGACATCATTTAATTACTCCATTGCAGGCTTATGCCTGTCATCTCCTACCATCTTCCTAGGCCACATCTCATGCTAGGCTCAGGTATGAAACTTACAGAAAAGTGCCTAACGTTTCTCCTTTGACTTCGCACACCATATGCCCCCTTTTATTCTAAGCTCCTTGTAAATTTCATAAGACAAGACAAAGGATATCGTGTGCTACGTTACTCAATGGCTCACTACATCTTCCTGGCTTCTAATCTAGACAGTGCTGATCTGCCCTGAAGTTACTGGACCAGTGGGACGATCCCTTCTGCTCTAAGCCAGCCATGCCTTCTTTATTTTTAATTTTATTAACCCTTAATATAAACTGGAGGGTTTTTTTTTTTTTTTAGTTAAAAAATGAGGACTTCCCTCAGCAGAGGATCATAAGAGAATATAACCATGTAGGAGGATGCAGAAATGAAAAGTCACTCTTGTTGGTCTGTGGACTACACAGGCCAAGAGTAAAGACAGTTCTTGAGCAGGAATGACATGTTGAGTCCCCCAGAGAAAAGTCGAATGGCCACTCCTTTTGGTTTTTCCTACTCCTTCTCTCATAGGCTATCAGTTTTCTGTTTTCTTTCTTTCTTTTTTAATCATTGATAATATATCTTTGTCCATCCAGAAAAAACAATGCTAATCTCATTTTTACTTCTAAATGCTACATATAAGTCCCCTGTGCTTTACAAATCATCAACACTATCATCACCTTAAAATAAACAATCTAAGCAGAGAATTTAATACTATTATAAACTATCCGTTGAAAGACCAGCCAGCACATTTTAAAGTGCTGACCATATGACATTCTTTGTCTAGGAAAGAGTGAGGCTTAATTAGACTTAACTAACATTTCTGTTACACTGCTATATATACACTACTCCGTTGTACAGTTGAAGCTTGGCCCTAGTTCACGGGAGGTGGCACAGGCCCTACAGGTGGGGTCCAAGCACAGGGAGGCCTGGGATTTGGGAGAGTGGGCTTGGGCTTAGAACAGTTCCTGGCCATCTACTTTCCTATAGGTATAGGAAAAGATTCACGGGCTTCCATGTGGCACCCATTCGACCCACAAACAAAAACAACATTAAGGTAAATTTCAACAATCTTTCTACTCCCATATGCCAAACTCAATCTCGCTTAACAGTACATCTATTCCATTCGCTCTAAATAAAGAGATCAACTGCCGAAGGACTTGATAAAAACTGCTTCACACATCGAAAAATCTCATCTCACAAAACGTAAGTTCACTTTCGGGTAAGTTACACGCTCCCTTCTTCTCATTTCTAATTTGGTTTGGATGGGATCATTGACAAGTATAAAATGAAAGCTGAATCTCTTTACAGTGAATAATTTGTTGGATGCATTCAAGCACCACACCTAAGACTTCAAGACTTTTACTTTTCACTGATTCAAATACAAGGTAGTCATGAAAAAAGAGAAACAGGTATGAAGCTGTATTTCCCTAAACGCCAGAGTGTGAATATACAATGTTCTCTTTTATCATCTCTCCTTTTTGCCTCCACCATCCCATTTCATAGCACTGTATATAAGCGTGTATTTCTTTTCTGCCAATGGTGGAAAATGTCACCTTAATGTTCTGTAAATGTCAGGGGTTCTTCCTTTTTGATGGTGGAGCAATATAAAAATCAACAAATTTAATTTTACTACAGTCACGGTTTTCAGATTCCCTAATTACCCTGGGCTATGAGCAAATCAGCTCATCCCTCTATTCTGTACAGCCCCCAAGGTCTTTGATTATTTTAGTGTGTGTATGGGGGAGAGAGAGAGAAAGGTGGTTGGAATCTATTAATCAAAATGCATGGCAGGACCTAGGCAGATTTTTTTTTTAATTATGAAAGTAATCAATCAAATGCTTAGACACTATTCCCCTTTCTTTACGTCCTCCCTTTCTGACAGTGAGCAGGCTGAAGAGACTAAGAGGTCATAAACAATTCACCATATTAAGAAGTTTTAAATGGAGGTAAGTATACTCTATGCAGAGTAAGATAATAAACTAAGAAACAGAAGAGACCTTGGTAACCAGAAATACAAACTACTGAGCTATCTACATTTGATTTGACTACCAAGATGAACTAAAAATGGTCAGGAATCTTAGACTACTAGGTTGTTTCTACACTACTTCTTCATTGCTATTCTCTTGGCTTTATAAAAGCAGTAGGACAAGTGGAATCATCCTACATGGAAACAGAACTGAGGTGAAGAGAGAGAAGAAAGAAACCCAACATTATTTTTCCGCATGATAAACTATACGCACATGTGGAGTTCCACAGAACCAAACTTTTTAGTGATGCTAAAATAAACCTAGCCTGTAAAATTTGTTTCTTGAAATGATTTCTAAAAAACTCTACACTATGAATATTCAGTTAGTTAAAAAAATTTTCAGGAAAAATCTTGGAATCACTCATGGTTATCAATATAGCATATTGAATATGACTTAATGAAAACATTTATTATAGCAACCCTAAGCCATACCCATGTTTTATTTTTTTAAAAAAGCATAAATGCACATTGCTCTGTAGACAGATATGCTGTGCATAAAATTTTTATAAACCAAATAATATTTTAAATGCAGTTCAATGGCTTGCTCTGAGGGAAGTGCAAGTTTGATTACCTAATGAGGATACCTCCATTATTAAGGGCAAGCAAGTCTCCATGACACACAAAGCATTTTAGAAACTTGTGAAGACATTGTTCCTGTAGTCAGGATGGTTATTTCACATAAAAGTGACATTATAAAGTGCTTCATAGAAAAGACCCAAAACTCTTTGACTGCCTCCCAAACAGCCAAAGATGTCTCAGGAGTTTCTTTATTCCAGTTACCCAACCTGGGAAGGTCACTGTTGTCTGCTGTGGAGTTGTCTCATATGCACATAAAACACTACTTTGAACTGTGTGGGTATTTCTGCCTCCCTTCTCCCCTCTCAGTCCTGGATGCATGGAAGGCAGTCTTGCATCTTGTTGCACTCACTGAGGGTCTAGTGTGGACAGGGAAGTTATTTGGTACAACATGGCCCCATAACAAAACCAATTCCTTCAAAGAAACAAGCACTCATTTCAACATTGGAAGGAAAACTGGCTTTATACTATACCTTATGGGTGATTTAAGACATCTGTGAGGGTAATTTCGACCATTTGACTATTTGATATTGTCCCTTACTCCTAATTTTAGCTAGATGCAACTCCACAAGACACGCCTTTGTATTAACAACAGAGAACATGCTCCCTTAGTGTGTTCTGACTGCCATCCAAGGATCCCACCGAAACTCAGCTGTGAAAGCTAAGGCTGGCTCTCTGGACAAATGGAAGCAAGAAGGATGTGCCGTGTGGCCATGCACTTCTGAGACAGCTGATCTTAGTTCTCAGAAGGTCATCCCCCAAGCCCAAGAAGCGCGGCCACGGAGGGAGTCTAGTAGCACAAAACACCCACCACCACCGCCTGGGAGGCCAGGCCTGGGACTCAGAGCACCACAGTCACTTCCCAGGGCGGTAGATGATGCTCCGATGGCAGGTTCCGGCCTAGGGGCTTACCTGACAGAGTGGAGCTGCTGATGGTGCTGGCCGGGGTGGTGACCTCGGGCTCCTCCTGAACACACTCTGCCGGAGGAAGGGCTGGCTTTTCTGGCTCCTCACGGGGGTCTCCGGGGCAGGGAGTAGCAGCGTCTTGTCCTGGCTCTGTTGAGATAGCCAGTTTGGGAAGCAGGCCAGAACTGAGTTTACGTCTGTTGCTTTCTGTATCTGAAGAGTTGGATGTGGACAACTGTTGCCTTAATTAAAAACAAAAACAAAGTCATACATACATACAGGAAACTGTTCAAGGTGAATTCTGGAAGAAACCAGGTAACAGTGGAACTTGGAATAGCCTAACCAACACATGTCTAGTGCAGTGGTTCTTAAAGCCTGGTACCCAGATGAGCAGCACCAGCATCAGCTGGGAACTTGTCGGAAACGCACATTCTCTGCCCCCAGCCAGACCGACTGGATCAAAGACTCCGGGCCCAGCAGTTGGTGTTTTCACAGGCCTCCAGAGGATTCTGACGCACACTCACATTTGAGAACCACTGCTCTAGTAGCTACTGTTTATGATATTTTTTAACAGGCATTTCACATACATTTCAGAAAATTCCGAACTCCAGCTTAATGTTTCTGTGGATGGCAAAGTTGTGCTTTTGGTTTTGTCCCCAGGGTCTTCCTTCTCTTCTCCTGAATTCTGAGTTACTCGATCTATACTGCTGAAAACCTGGAAGGCAAATAGTCAGTGCTTATTAATAGCTTCTAAAAGAGTGTGTCAGAAAAAACTCCAAAACTTGGAAGAAAAACCTGAGACCACGACTAGAGTTTGAATTGGGACCGTGAATTTAGAAGGTACTTTCCAATGCTGTTGACTTAGTCATGAGATGAATGGTCACTGTATAATTTTTTTCTTTTGGAGTGGGGAGCTATGAATCCATCACCCTCTCCCATATCTCATTATGGACTTGGTATCTGCAAACAAAATCCATAGATGCATTCAGGTTTCTAGGCCTAGGGATCAATGCATACCTTAGATTACTTTTTAACCATGAAGTCAATCAGAAAAACAAAATCACAGAGAAGAAGATTTAATGGCCACCAGATAGGGGTGGGAAAGAGAAAAACGAATTGGAATTGAGTGTGAAGAGAATAAATTACCTGTCTCAAGACTTGTGCGTAGGGGTAGATGCAGTACATATTTGGTTACGAGTCAGAAGTATTTCTTTGGCTTATAAATCACACATACAGACAGGCAGCTTCCTATGCTGGTACTGGGATTTCTGAAGGGGATCAGCACTTAGGCAAACCTGAGATCTCTGTGTCCCACAGGAACGATGGAAGGTAAAACAGGCTGAGAGCCGGTGCAGGAAGCACTCCCTACTGTCCCACTCTGCCACCAGCTGCTCTCATGGGAATGGCCCTTAGACCTCCTACAATCTACTGGGGTTAGGAGGAAGGTGGTTAAAGAACAGGAGACAACGGGAAGGAAACAGTGTTTAGGGGTTGGCTTTGACGGGCCAGAGAATAGGTACTGGTGTCAGCCCACACTCAGTGTCATCACAGCTTCTGTCCTGGCTGTGAACAGACCTGCCACCACTCCAGGGAAATCCCTACCTCTCTATGTCGTTCCTACAAACAGGGAGGGCAGTGTGGGCCAATCTGCAGATGCACTCTAGGTAGTCGCTTAGAAAAGGGTACAGAACACTTTAAAATCACTAAATGCTATAGAAAAGCTAAACAATAATCATGCAAAATGCCATGGCAACAGAAAATATATAGCTACTGAAAATAGCAAAAGGGAAGTAAGGTGCCCTCTAGTTTCACTTCCATTTTCCTAGGGCCTTGCCCTGCCTCAGGACTATCAGGTCTCTTTGTTTTGTTTGTTTTTTAATCTTACCACAATCAGTAAAAAACCATCTTTCTCAAACATCGATTTTATTATCTTCTACCATTTCTAAAATTCTAACTTGGCTTCCTATTGCCTCTTTAATATAGCTTACATTTTCTATTACTGGTTACAAGGCTTTCTCACTCCACAATCAATGGTTCCCCAGTGTCTCAGCTTACGTCAAGGACAAAGCCTTCTCTTTTGTGTCGTATTCTGTGCGATACTAGGAGAGGGCTCAGTGCACAATGAGCTCAACGTTCTTGAGTATAAGATGAAAGAAACAGGGGCATGCCCCACAGCCGGGCACTAAGCTAGACCAGGGCACACAAGGCGAGGTCAGCATATACATGGCAGCATGTACTCCAAAGATAAGATTCTGAGTGCAACTCTGTGCCTCTAAGAAAAAAAGATTAATCTGTGAAGAGTGAAACAGAGAAACAGAGTCCTGCAGCGGGGCCAGCACTCTGGATTATCAAGATGGTGGGGTCACTTCTCCTAAACAAAAAGGAATTTTAAGTACAGGTGATGCCAAACTCCAAAACACTGTAAGTGGTTTGCACAATCCTGCCCAGTTGTTTAGGGGTACCTACTGTCTGGCCAGTGGGAGGTTCTCCCAGAGAGACCCTATATATTTATGCTATATTTCACTTACTTTTGAAAACCTATGTGAACATGAGGAAAACTGCCGTATTTCCACATTAAAGTCTTCATCATTCGTGTCATCTTCTTCCTCAGTCTCCATGTGATGATACTTCTCTGACCGAGCTGCAGAGAAATGGTTGGCAACAGTTCCAATTACTCAGAAATCTAGTTTTTACTTTAGGTATTTTAATTATGAGTTTCTATATCAAAGCAACATTATGTTTAAGAACTCACAGGTTCAAGATTGGAAAGTGCTATCGAAAGTGGAGATAATTTTCTATAAACAATGTTTTATATCAGATAATGCACATACTATCAAAATAACTTGTGTCATCTTCGGATTCCAGTTGGGGAATAAATTCTGCCTTCTGTCTCAGCAAACTGTTCCAGTCTAAAGAGCGGAAGAATCGATGCTGTTTGACTTCATATGCACCACCTTGGGGCGGGGAGTGGAGGAAGGACAGAGAGGAAAGTGTTAAATTATCCTCCAAGCAAAGGGAAACATCTGTTTTTAAGAACAACCAAAAAAAGAAAAAATCTATCAACAGAGAAATGAAGAAGTCATGGACATCTTTTTCATTCCACAACCAAAACTCCCCCAAAATTTTCCCATAATTTATCAGCAGGAGATTTGATTTTGCTAACAGCAGTTGCTATGGCACAGTTTTTTCTTTGTTAATTTTTCCATGACTTCCTCCATTTTTCAAAGGTTAATGATGCGGCCACTTAAAATCACATTATGCTGAACCTGGGGACATGGACGCACATTGAGCCAAAGCAGACTTGCTCATTACACACCCAAAGAAATTCTAACAGGGTGCAAAATGTGTCCACAGCAGTATTTCCTCTGGAGGTAAGGTTAATAAAGATGAATTTTTCCTAAATAATGGTTACTCTTCAATGTTATTGGCTTGCTTATTAACACATGTAGGAATTAGATTCTATGTATTACAGATTCTTAAGTAAGAAACTGGCAAACCTCTTTGATAGATTTATAATGCATGTGATGAAAATCAATTATAATTCCTAAGTTTTAGGCTTCTTTTTGCCAAGTCAGCATGATAGCACCATTCAGTGAAATAATGTTTTTAAATTCAGTGCATGATTTGAGAGTGATTTTGAAGGGCAGGTCCCATCAAAATATTACACCTTACCCCATGTAAAGGGAAGAATGTACACAAGTTATAAAATCACAGTGTGAGAATCAGGCCCCTGTCCTGCCCACCCCCACTCCCTTGATGTGGGAGATAAGGAAGAACCAATCCTGCAAAAACACGAGGAAGAGAGATTTCTCACAAGACTAATACCAGCGTCTAATCAGCCTCCCTGGCAGGAGATGCCCTTCTAAGTGTGATGTAAACGCCTCTTGAATGCAGTGGTCACCCACGCTTCTCATCCTTTCCTCAGTTGGGTACAGAAGGAACAGGATGAGAAATGCAAGCTGAATGAAAAATGGGCTTGGATCTTGGGGCGGGGGAGCTGTCTGTGTGGTTCAAAGATGTGGCTCTGTCCCCATCACGCCTCTCGAGCACAAGGTGCAAGGCAGAGCTCCAAGCCCAGCCAGGGGAAACTAGTGTTCTGAAAACAATGGAATGAAGAGAATGGGGTAAAGTGGGAAAATCACCCCAAAAAAGGGAGAGTGGATTCTCCTTTACAAAGCATTCGACTGGAATCTTTATCCAGGATCCCATCCAGGCATCCTCCGTGTTTATGGCACAATGCTCAAGTCTGATGTTGGTCACAACAGCAACAGCATTAGCAGCTGTGATCTGAGGGCTGACTTTGACAGGCATTGCACTGGATGCTAGAGGCATCTTGTTCCCTTTGCCTAAGTAACTAAAAGGGACCCCACGACGAAGTAGGCATTATCAACTCCATTTTTGGATGTGGAAACTAAGGACAAGCATTGAAGTATTCCGGACCAAGATCACCCAGTGAGTAAGGCTTAGAGGGGCTGAGCTGAGTTCTGTCTAAAAACACCCAGGTCCATCCTCAGTGCCATAATGCCACATGCCATACATGAGGGAGGCACGTTTTATTTCAGGTCCTACACTGCCATCTCTCTTGCACAGACTGCGAAACGGATTCACAACTGCCAATATTGGGGAACTGAGTCGAGCAGCCGATTCACAGCACCTCTGCACAGTCCAGTGCCAGTCCTCCACGGATCCTGCCTCTCCTCTACCCCAAGCAACATCCCCAAACACAGCTGCAGTGAGATTTTCTTCTAGTGCTCTCATCTAGGAGGAGCTTACAAGGCTTAAACATTTATCCATCCAACTCCCTCACTGAACCAATGTCAATGAGGTCCAAAGAGGCAAGCCCTACTTAGTGGCGCACCACACACCACACTGTACTTCAGCTGCTGCTCATGGGGCCACACCAAATGACAGCTCTGACGCTTCGAGGCAGCTCAACGTTACCCAGAAACACACAGTTCTCTAGAGCCAAGGGCTCAATCAACACTTCTGGAGCACAGCCAGAGTCTCTGGCTTTTCACTCCCCTGCCTGCCACTCTTTGGGACCCAAGTCAGGGAGAGCATTTGCTTCATCTCTGTGGACGATGACAAATGTGTCCTCCCCAACGAGTCACGGCCCACTGCTGACCCGGCTCACATTTCTCACCCTTTGGCCTTCATGCCGCACTGGGAAGAGGTTGCTTATCACCAGGTCCTGTTTCTCATGCACTTTTAAAGAGATGGGGAACAAAAGAATTAAAGGGACACACTGGGGAAGAATTACCTCTGGGCTAAACTGTTGGTACAATATGGCTGACGGCTTTATGAGCCAAATACAAACCATCAGACACAGGAACTCATGCACATGACAGCTTTCATTGTAAGAATTCACCAGGAAGGGCAGGGAAGGGCAACTAGTTATTTCTTGAGGTCCTATTATGCACTAGGTTAATGTACTAGATACTTTCGTGAACATGTTTATATTTAGTCCTCACAATAATCCTGTCAGGTGCACAACACGCCCATTTTCATAGACTAGGAAACTGAGACTCAGGGCAATGGAGAAACTACTCTAGACCTCCCTCTGGGTACATGGGTGGGAGTCAGTCACATCCGAGCAGCTCTAAAGTGCAGTCAGCCAGGCTGCCACTCAATACTCTACAAGTTCAAGAGTCTAGTTCAAGGATGACATGTTCCTCATGTCCAAAGCAAGTATGCTTTGGCACTACTGTTCTCTCTTGCGTTTTTCTCTCCTTTCATGGAAGTTTCTCAAACATCCATCATGTTCTTCACACTCCTTTTCTCAGCCTCTCTAGTCTCTCGGGCAAATGTGCATTCACACATTTTCATGATGCATTATTTTGCCCGCTAAATATGCATTAAATCCAAAATGCTGTCATTGGAAGCAGCATGGCAGGCCTGCGGGATTCTCCGCCTTATTCTCCGGGCCCTACTGGGATCTGTCATGTTGGACCTGCCTGTTTGGCAAGCACTTCCTGACAAAGCTAAGAGCTCAGGCAGGGTCTTCTAAATGTCTCTTTTGAGCTTCTGCTAGGAGATTTGTTTCTCAAATTGTCAAAGACTGAAAGTAGCGGTCAAGGAGAAAATGTGCAGAGAGATAACATGCAGCATACAATAGATAAACATGAATGTACTGACCATCGTCACAACCCCGTCTCATTAAATCCAGCCCAATCCAGAATCCAAGTATTCTCAGAGGAGGGAAACGGACAGAATATTAAGTGGGAAACTCCAAACTGACACATGAACACTGAGGGGAAGGGGACTCTTTCCAGGGGGTGCGCTGATTGCCATATATATATATATGGGAATATATATATATATACACACACACATATACACATATTTGTGTGTGTGTGTGAGGAGACCAGCCCTGTGCTAATATCTGCCAATCCTCCTCTTTTTTTTTTTGCTGACATCCGTGCCCATTCTCCTCCACTTTATATGGGACGCCGCCACAGCATGGCTTGCCAAGCAGTGCGTCGGTGCGTGCGCACCCAACCGCTCGCATCACTGGGCCGGCCCCTGATTCTCATATATTTTTAATCATACCTTAGGACAACACTTCTCCGGGAGAGTTGATTAGAACATATAAATAAATATTTGTATTGGTGCAGGAGAATCTTAAAATGCCACTGCTTCTCATTTTTGGCTCAAAGAGTAAAAATCCTGCCTCAAAACTCTGCCCCATACAGAGCCTTGACACCAATTCTTTGACAGTGATTCATATCTCTTGAACCATAAAGCAAATCTGACTGCAGGTCAGAGGGTGAGAAATAACAAGTTTGCTACTCACTTCAGACAAGAGGAAAATCAAATAGGATGGGAAGAAATATAAAGTACTCTATTCCAAGAGTTCAATCAGCTCAAAGGTAGGGGTACTACCAGCATTTCTGTATCTTGTATGTCCAAAGGGGAAAGCGTGAGATTACACATGCAGAAAATTAACGATGACAATACCAGCAGCAGTGTCACATCTGGTTCTAAGAGCCAGAGTGCCTGATCTTGTCTCCTCACAATAACCCTGTAATGTGGCACTACTATAAGCTCCATTTTACAGATGAGGACATGAGGGAGAAAGGGAAATAACCTGCTCATGCTCACACAGCCGAGATTTAAACTCAGGCAACCTGACTCTGGGGTTTGTGTCCTTAACGTCCATTTAAATCGCCCTTCCTAGTTAAAGGCCCACCCACTGAAAAAGGCAAAAAGGCACACGGTATTCCAGTAAGAGGCTCAACTCAAAGAGGTTTTCCCAATTGAGCCCTGATTTTAAAGCTTCTTGGATTCTCTAATGCAGGGTCTGCAAGATTTTTCTGTCATGGGCCAAATTCAGGCTTTGGTGGGCCCTCGAGTCTGCCATGACTCCTCAGCACTGCCAGTGCAGCATGACAGCAGCCAGGACAATCTGTGAGTGAATGGCATTACTGTGTTCCAATAAAACTTTATTTACAAAATAAAGATTTGGTCCATGGGTTTTAAAGCATTCTCATAGGCTCTAGTAACACAGCACTCCATACTTAAGCAAGAACAGAGTCCTCCAACTGGGAAAGCTGTGGGCAAATGTGGAAAGCAACACAAGATATATATTTGGAGCTGTTGCAAATGATTTTTGTCTTGGAAAAAATAGGGGAGAGAATTATTTCTTCAGTGTTTTTTGATATTTCTATTAAAATGGGGTAGAATGAAACAGCTCAGAGTAAACAACCATCAAGTCAACATTTTCACTGATGAAAATTATGGATACTGTGTGTGTGCGTGTTTCTATTTAATATTTAGTCTCATTTAGATAAAATCATATCCTGGGGCAGGCTGGGACGCTATATTGAAATCTCTAAGTGTATCTACTCAGAATAGAAGGAAGAAAAAGAAAAGGAGGGGCAGAAACAAACAACTGGAAGCAGAATAGTCAGGAAAAATAATCAGCAAGAAACAAACCTACTATCTCCTTAATCTTGAAAGTCAATGGTTTTTAATCCTCTGTCTTGGGCCACGGTGCTGATCACCATGATGGCACAGCAGGGTTCAACCCCAGGCACTCATTTCTAGTAATTAGTTCAAGTACCGATAACCTGCTTCAAAGCCTGTAGACAGTATCGTGCTGGGTCAAATCCTTCTGGAAATATATATTTTTTTAAAAAACCCAGACAAAAAAAAGCTCCACATCTTTAATCCTCTGTTTCAAATTATTTAAGATGCATGCTTGCAGGACAGAAGAGTTACATATGCCCTTGAGGTTTTCTTCCAGAGAAGTTTTATTTATTGAAACAAATTAAAAATAATTTCTGCTTTGCAAAAAACAAGAACAAAAACCACAGACAAACAACAACCCTCCTAGTGTACATACCGCTCTGAATCAGGAAAAAAAAAATCTAAAATATGATTGTTGTAATGGGTTGTAGTCATGTTCTACATCAACTAACAGATGTTTCCTATGCCAAAAACAAAACACAAACAAAAACCTCTGAGTGCTCCACAAAGATATTATTTCTTGCATATTAGCAAAATTAAAACATATGTGCTCTAACCTGTTCCCAGTCTCTCCAGGGGATTCTGCCTGAGAAGCAAGGTAATCAGATCCTGGGCATCGGGTGGTGGCGCCTCATCCTTCTCAGGCCAGTTGATTTCATCTAGAGGGAAGAAAAGTAGTTTACGACTTGATTGCTTAAATGCTGGTCCAGGTCCCAACAGCCTGGACATCACTTGGGAGTTTGTTAGAAATGCAGACTATCAGGCCCGACCCCAGACCTAGTGAATCAAAATCTGCATTTAACAAGATCTTCAGTTGATTCCTAGGACCAGTCAAGTTTGGGAAGCAGTGCTTTACAAGACATGAAGAGCACAGGTTTCAACAAGGCAGGGGGAGAATATTTCAATAAGCAGTGTCTTTCATTTGTCTTTTTGATTCATTTTTTTTGGCAGAACTAGCTCACAACAAATTGCTCCTTCTAGTTATTAAGAAGACTTAATATAGTAGAAACTCTGAACACCTGCATTTCAGGTGCTCACCCATCCAGGGATCACCTGAGAGTAAGATTTTCTCTCCAACGATTCTCAAATGAGGATTTGGCCATAGCCATCGAGTTCTTCAGCTCCAAGAAGCAAAAAATAATTTTGTAAAAATAACTGTTTCCAGAGACAAAGAAAAGGTCCAAGTGCTAAGACTGAAGAAGAAAAAAAAATCCAAAGTAATCATAGTAATGGAAGTATTTAAAATCTGTCATAAGTAGTAGAATATGTTCTACATTCTAAAGGAGTTGGCCTGAAGATAGGTGTGCATGCTTGTGTGCATGGAAATGCAATAAAAACATGAGTTATATCTGTGTGTGCCTGCCTCTAGCTTCCTCTGCCGCAGTTTAAATCTGATTTGGAAAATAAAACATGAATATGCATCTGAGCCGTGAGGCATTGAGAACAAAGCCAGCATTTGCTGCTTGTGTTAATTAAACAGTTGATTCCTCTTGCCATTCAGGCCTTGGTATATCAGAAAACAGCCTAGTTATAAATCCATAAACAGCTCAGATATTGTACAAAAGGGTTATACACTGCAGGCAACTCACAAATCTACTTTGTTAAAGTTTACAAACATGCCTGGCTTGCAAAGTCAATGACAGAAAATAATGCTGTGATTAAAGGGCTCCTCAGATCAAAATGAATTCTCTCCCTGTTTCCACTGCTGGACCCTGTAAGCACAGTCCAGAATGAACCGGAGGTGGGTGATGGAGATGTCAGTGATGACTGACAAACTTGGAGGGAGAGGCTTTTTTCATCTACGCTTTGGGGAAATTTACGAAAACAGCAGGTAGGGTAGTAATAGAGCCTATTTAATTATCATTTAGTTTTGCCACAAGCCGCATAACAACAGTTAGGGTCAGCTTGCAGGTTAAGATCTAAAGGTTATTGAATTTTAAATGAAAGATGAACAGCTGTTACAGAAATAACATTACACCATAACAACTACCAATGAAATCATTAACAATCTGTGGATTAAATTTGCTTCCTTCCCATTCTCATTATTTATTATTTGGTAGACATTTGTTTTAGGGTTTATTACATTTTTGTTAATTTCTTCACTGTGCCATTAGCCATTTTTCCCATTTATGTAAATGGTACCCACATTAACCTTTTCTTCCCTGGTGCAACTTTCCTATTATGGAAAGGAAGACTGGATGGCAGTGAAATCATTTGCAAATCCCACATCAATTTCTTTTGCAGAAAAAGCACACCATAAAAGTCGGTTACACTGCTAGTACAATTCCAGATTCTATGTTAACACAACTTCCTCAGATCAATTTTCAACACAAATTGCTCTCTTGAGATTGTGAAAGTCAGTTATGTGCTATGATGAGTGAGTTCTTTTAATTCGTTGGCTAAACCGTTTGATAAAGGTTAACATTTTAGCAGTAAAAACTGCGATACTCCACAGAATTACATTAAATAGCTGCTTCCCAACAGGAGCTTAAAGATAACTCCTGATGATACTTACCACTGATGACTTGTCCAAATAGCTCTTCTGGAGTGTCCCCAAAGAATGGCACACATCCAACCAGAAATTCATAGAGGATAATCCCCATGGCCCACCAGTCCACCGGCTTCCCGTAGCCCTGCCTCAGAATCACTTCTGGTGCGATGTATTCAGGTGTGCCACAAACCTAAAAGATGATTGCAATATTAGAATAATTGGAATATTAGGCATGAATTAAAATGAGCAAGATGGCTAAACACCAATTATTTTGTCCAGAGTGCACCTGCTCAACCACATGGAACCACATGGACAAAGAACTTAAGCACAGCAATTGTAAGCTGGTATCTCTAATATCGAAGGCGATAAATTACTTAAATACCAAAAAAGGGAAATTTAAAATGCTGCTCTAATGCTAAACTATGTGTAATGTGTAATTTCAGATTGAAGATTGGACCCTTTCTGGTAGTTTTACTTATTTTAAAATATTAAAAACATTTGTAATCTTTAAATTTAAAATAATAATGCATTTTTTATCTGTCACTGTCAGAGATAGTTTTAGTATTTATATGAAAAAAACATATACGCACCCTGGTTACTCCATAAAAACATGACAGTTGAGATGTGTTTACCTTAAGTAACTTTACAATGAACAGATTGTGGGCACATGGTAATGAGGCATGCTTAAAAGGAAATGGGCCATGGCTTGGATTTTAGCATCCGTGATTGTACCATGCATCATGAGTTTCACGAGTACTCTACTGAGACTCCTGAATTCCTTACAAAAACAGTTTTCCATTTGTCTCTCTCACACTCTCACTTGTGTGCAATTAGATCGTTCGTCTTGCTAATAGACCATAATGCTGGGGAAGGAATGCGGAGGAGCGGACAGTTCAAAGAGGCCCAGGGAGAAAAATGGAAGCAATTTGCACTTTATTAAATGCAAGGCTTATACAGACATCTAACCCCCCCGGTACTAATGTGAAGATGGCCTACACAAGCGGATTCCGAATTTCACTGGCAATATTGTACTTTGCATTTCTCTACAGACCTGAACAGCATGCAAACTTACCTGTTTGTCCAGGAACTCTCGAGCGTCCTTCTCAATATGACCTTCATAAAGATTGGTAGTCATGCTCATTAGTCCCACCTTGGATAATCCAAAATCTGTCAGCTTTATGTGCCCCATGGAGGTGACCAACAGACTACGAAGCACAAGGACATATATTACAACACTCACTTTGAAGCTGGTTCTTTTTTTTTTAGCTTTCTCCCTCCCCCATCAATTTGTAAGACTATTTAGTATATAGTATCAACCTTATTACAAAACCCCGCCTGGGAAGAGGTGAAGGCACACAAAGATGTCAGATACTTTGGATCTGGCAGCTGAGTGTAATTCACAAGGGATGGCCAGAGACCAGGTCTGGTTAATCTTTGTTGGAGCAGCCACACAGAGTATCATTTACAACTTGAAACTCTTAGAAAAATTCAAGTATGTAATTCTGACATTTTCCTTTTCAAAATAAGGAATTACAAGAGAAAGGGCTGCCAATAATCCCTCGTCACACATCAGGAACTAAGATAAGCAACCCATCCATGATCCAAATGAGACATGAGATAAAGAACTCAGAACAATGTAGCATTGTTTCAGATTTCAACTTCAGCTTGAATGAAGACTTCTACTCATTAAGCACAAAACCTACATTTCTTTTACATGCAAAGAATTCACATTTGACAGCTTTATGAACACACATATATATTTTTTGCTGAGGAAGATTGGCCCTGAGCTAACATCTGCTGCCAATCCTCTTTTTTTTTTGGCTTGAGGAAGATTAGTCCTGAGCTAACAACTGTGTCAATCTTCCTCCACTTTGTATGTGTGTGGGACACCGCCCCAGCATGGCTGGTGAGTGGAGTACGTTCGCGTCTGGGATCCGAACCTGTGAACCCAGGCCGCTGAAGCGGAGTGCACGGAACTTGAACTACTCGGTCACAGGGTCGGGCCCTGAACTTATATTTTTAAAAATTTTCATTTTAAGTGGAAAGATAAAAATTTTAATTAATTAAAAAATGAAAGGAATAGAGGAGTTGGGGGAAAAAAAGCTACTGGAAGTAAATATGCCAAAATTCTAATAGTTGTCTTTGTTTGGTAATGTCGTGAATGCAATTTTTTCTTTAAGTTTTTCTGCATTTTCCAAATTTTTTGGAATGAGCATGAGTTAATTTTATCATAAAATTTTCAGTACACTTAAAATCTTTACATATTAACATGTAATGTATTTAGAGGTGTCTTAAATTAGTGGACAAAGCATGAAACATTTAATAAACGGTGTCAAGATGAATAGCTAGACATTTAGGGAAAAAGAGTCTATCTGTATCTCAAATCAGACACTAAAATGAACTTCACATAGATTAAAAATTAAATTAAAAATTAAATTGTGAGTAAAATAGAGTATAATATCAAGTATATCATCTTGGAGTAGGGAAGGATTATCTATGAGACTAAATACAGAAACTATCCAGAAAACAAGCAGCATTCTACACAGCTCTTTGAATGTTTACATAGTAAAAAAATTTGAAAAATTAACTAACCCTGGCTTTATAATCATCTTTTTCTTTTGTTTCTTATAAGCTATTATTATTAGCAGCATAGCCTTTAAAGGATTATATAAAAATTATCATACATATTGTTAAAATAATTCATTTAGGAATATTATGGGAGAATTCTAAAATGTGCAAAGCAACATTAAAACATTTTTATAGACATAGAAAAACTTTTTGTACTGTGTGAAAAAAAGACCTATGTTTCATCAGTGTACATACTTGTCTGGTTTCAAATCCCTGTGTACAATTCCATAATTATGCAGATACTCCAAGGCCAGGACTGTCTCAGCAAAGTACATCCTGGCCATATCAACAGGGAGAGGACCCATGTTTTTCATTAAGGTAGCACAGTCGCCCCCTATAAAAGACAAGAATAAGATTCAGCAGGTATAGTATGAGCTAGGATTAAAGGAGACTGTCAGTTTAGATCGCAGAATGTCAAAGTAGAATGGCCTCTACCCTCAGACACAGCATATCACGTTCATAAGTGGAGACTGTGTGTTAAGTAATCATGTTTCTAACTAAGATGTGGTACGGAGAAAATATAGATTTTTATTTAAGAAGCAGTACTCATAAGAGAGCAGATCTGGCTCTGAAGTGGAATAGAAATTTGAAGAACTGCTGGCATAATTTTAGAAACATGGTGACAATTTAAAATATACCAGTATAAAAAACATGGATTCCAGAATCAGCCTGCCTGAGTTCAAACCCTAGCTCTGACACTTACAGGAGGGGAGATCTTAGGCAAACTAGTCTTAGTTCTTTCATCTGTAATATCGGGATAGTAACAGTGCCATCCCTCTTAGGATTATTGTGGGGATTAAATGAGGTAATCTATGTAAAGAATTTAGAATACTGCCAACACAGATTAAACATGTGAAAAATCTTAGTTATTGTTGTTAAAATAACCACAACAAAGGTTAATACAGCAAAATATTGGTGTGGTGAAAAGAAAGGGAGGAAATCAGGCAAGCTATGTTTCTGTCTTGTATCTACCACTAAGTACCTAGTAATCCTCTCTAGGGTTTCAGTTCACTCATCTGCAAAATGAAAAGGTTCAACCTAAACGATATTTAACGTTTCTTCAAGTTTTATAGTTTTGGGACTGTGTTCGAACAATTACAAGAGCTTAAATTAGATGCTTTGAAAATTTAGAAAAGCCCTTGCTGATCTATTCATTTTATTAACTTTGTTTATGTCAACAAGTCATGGCCACTCAAACACTCAGAAATTTAGTGTAAAACGGGTGAAAATAAGATTACTTGGAGCATTTAAAAGGTAGATCGTAATTACTCAAAAAAAAATAATAATTTTCTTGAATGTATCTCCTTTCTCCTAACTCATTTTTAATTTCATACCATAGACCAAAAGGATATATTTTTAATTCACTCTTTAAGAAGTTCAATTATAATGAATGTTTTTATGATATGTGATAAAAATAAGTAGGGAAAATCCCATCATCTATATTCTAACTTTAATGACCAATTGAGAGGAGGTAGTTAGGACTAAAAGCTATTAAAAAACGAAAACAACCTTTTTCCACATAGCACTAATTTTCCCTTTGTCATAGTAGAGCAGGCACTTTACAAGCAATTATCAGACAATAATGACTGGGAATATAGCCATCTCATCGCTCGGCCTCAGTTCCTAGGTGGATACGACCATTATGTGGCACAAATACAGAAGCTTCAGCCACACCTATGCGTGAGGGTTTCTGGGAACAGATGTCATGTTCTCTGTGTTAGAGAAGGTTTACCTTCCACATATTCCATGACCATGCACAAGTGGCGCCTTGTTTCAAAGGAGCAATACATGCTGACAACAAAAGGGTTTTCTGCAAAAGTCAGGATATCCCGTTCCACAAAGGCCTGCTGGATCTGGTTTCGGAGGATGAGGTTCTGTTTATTAATCTTCTTCATGGCAAACCTCTGCCGGGATTCCTTATGCCGAACAAAGTAGACCGCCCTGAAAAGGAGCACAAGAGTTGGGATTCACAGGAAGAGAGGATGCTTCTGGGTACAGTAAACCATGCGATCATCAACTCTTTAAGTTCATACGGCAGCTGGAATTCAGCTCACACACGCTATGGGGGCAGCTATAAACATCCCAGTCCAGGCTAAAGTCCTCTGGCTAGATTGATTTTTTTTTTAAAAAACTCTTTCAATAAAGTTCACAGGTCATACATAAGGCATCAAATTCATCTTCACTGCCGAAGGAAGGAAATGGACAGTCTCCAGAGTGAGCTATTTTCCAATAGCTAGCTGACGTTTTCAGTTTTTCCACAAATAAAACAAAATCCAGTATATAAGTCAGAACAGGAAAGAATTAACAAAGCACATACATATCATGAGCTAGGTCTGTTAGGTATTTTTTCTCAACTGACTAAAGCAATAGTTTTCTATATGATACCCTTGGGATCTGCAAAAAGGACCAGAGCTTCTTAGAGTAGTTGGCTTCCAACTTGAGAGTAATTTATTGCCCATGAAATTTACAGATAAAAGAGAAGCATGTATGAGGCTGTCCTGCAACAAAGAATAGCATATTGCCTCACTACGGACCTCGGCATGAGTTACACCTGTGCCTGTTTCAACAGAAAATGCATTTCCAACATAAAAGGGGACAACAATACACTGCTTTTCTGTTCCACCTGATCCCTGAACAAGGGGCCAGGTAACCTCATTATAAAAGTGAGCAGGATGCATTTAATCTCTGCCGAAAGCCTCACCCAAATACTCTATAGAACCAGTTCTGGCAGCGGAAAGACAATGGACTCCCTGAAGCTTTGAATGATGTGGAGAGAACAATTAGGAGGAGGAGTCATATTAAAACCCCACCTGGAAACGATGAGCAACAAGGAAAATGTCTTAGATGGGCTCCTTTTCTCCTAAGTCACTCCTTACTTGTCATTATCATAGGAGAACAGGTTTGAACTCTCAGGTTAGGCAATGCTCAAATAAGTAATAATTTACCTAAAGAGCCATCAATCATTAGAAGTGTGTAATAGGTTACATGAGGTTGTTCTGCAACAAACACAATGATCAAATAAGTAATGTTACCTAAAAAGCAATCAATCCAGTAAAGTATATCCAACGGCCTGCCTCCTAAAACAAGGGGTATCTGATCTGAGATGCATTTTCCACTAGTTATTTTCATTGTTCCTGAAAAACGAATGCAAGGGGGACTAGAACATCCTACATTCCTGCTGAACCAATATATCAGGGTGATCCACTTCCATAAACCTTAAGTATATGTAATCTCAGTTTAATCGATATTCACATTTTCTCCTTATGTGTTCAACCAGGAATTTATTTTTCTTTGAGGTATGCATATCTTTATCTTGGTCTTCTCATTCTATCTGCCTTTTCCCTTCACTCATAAAAATCACACTTTTTTTTTTTGTCTCTGTTTAAACTTTACTTTTTTTTTTTGGCTTACTCCTTGTTTTCTCTCTCCTCATTTCTCTGGTCTTCCGGTTCTTCCTTTACTGTATAGTAAAAAGCTCGCTTAACCACACTCCACATAACCAACTCAAGGAATAATCTAGTGCTGTCATTCCCACCATACAACAAACTGACATGGGAGCTGGCCAGCTGGGTGCCTAAGGGGCTTTCCACATGGGCTAGTGGTCCTCTTTCAGGATGCCCTGACCCTTGGGCTCCTCCCACTAGCTCATTTCCACATTGTTTTTCTGGCTAGGCTTGATATCATGATTAACTAATTTAAACAAATATTCAAACTGATGAGACATGAGTATGAAAAGGAACAATGGTGTTTATGAGAAAACTAAATGGAATGCTTTGGAAAGCCTTGATAAAGGTGAGTTACTAAATACAATTCCCACTGATTTAGTATGGGTGAGATTTCCAAAAGTTGAGAAAATAATAAAAATCTAAATTCCTACATTCAGATTGCCTCAAGTTCTTCTTTACCTTTAGAAAAGCTAAAACTGGAAAACAGAAACAACGTATTATAAGTATGGTTTATATTGGCTGTCTTAAAATGGCCTTACATCAAAAAACTAGTAAATTGATATATACTTAGGTTAAATTAAAATGTTTAAAGTACATATCTTCTTTTATGATTTCCTACTTTGACCAACTTTTTAACTAACCAACCAAACACTCATTCTTTCTAAATCAGATTAAAGGCCTTTACAATATTTTTCTTTTTCTAATTATTGATGGATAAAATCAAAGTTCAAAGAAAACTGAGCTCTCAATCAGGTGATGGTAGCAGGACAGACAGCTACAAAGGGAGCACAGAAAATATAGGACAAGCAATGTAAACAAATATCAAGAAGAGGGATTTCTGAAATAGAGAATCTATTTTTTAAAATGAAATTTAGAATTCAAAATGTTAAAAGGACAAAAAGTGTCTTTATAAAATCACTTGCCTATTCTTGAGAGTCAATGGAATATAGCTTACCTTCCATCCCGTTTTCAATATTTAACATTGAAAAAGGTTAGTGCTGAGGACCCTCAGACATATGATATTATGAACTTCACTTGTACTATCAGACCGTTGCTATTTTGATTTTCAATAAAGCATCATCACTTCTTACATAAATAACTGCTCAGCAGTATGTTTGAGAACAATAGGAAGTAGAGGAAAAAGAATGGATTTGTATACAATTTTATTTAAGAACAAAAGAGAAAGATACCTCAGCCCCAATCTGACCAGCACCCAGACCAGATTTCTTGGTGTCACTGTGTAAAAAATGGCTTCAATATTTATTCCCACATTTTCAGTTCATAAAATTTGAGTTGACATTCTACTTTCTCTTGTTATGATATACTTAGTAATAATCAGTTAATCTTTAGAAAAATTTACCTAACCAACCGAAATTAATCCTATAGGTAGACTGAGATATCACTGCCTCAGGACACACTTATCTTGATCAAGTCCCAAAGGTCAACTAGACTTCTTAATTAGAACTTGCTGTAGCTGGATTTTTGTTTGTTTGTTTTGTTTTATGTTCTTTGTTTTTCACATTTCCGTACTGCCTTGGGAATATTATTCTTAATGCTGAAATTTGTTTATTTAGTAATAATTGTTATCTCTCATATACACTTTTCCTCCTTCCCTGTAAGTCAATGTTTCAAATCTACTTAAGTCAGCAGAAAGAGAGGGAGGGAGAGAGAGATTGAAAAAGAGAGACAGACAGACAGACAGCAGCCAACAGACAGACATCTAACACTGTTAAGCAGGGCTATAAACCTCCCAAGGTTATAAAACCGACTGAACTGCTTCAGCCCCACATGTCTCTCCTTTCCAGCCCCAAGGGTTGTCTTCTTTGAAAAGGCTGCTTCTGTCTATCTTCTTCCACACTGACCTCCCTGTGAAACAGGAAAACCCAGGGGTGGGAGGTGATGAAGGGAGGGGGCAACCAGGGACCCTGTTCTCTCTGAGCCCAGCTTCACTACAGCCATGCAGAACTGAGGGGGAGGGGAGGAATGGGACAAAGCTGATGAGATCTAGAGCAGAATGAAATCAGTCCTCTCTGGAGTGTGACTGTCTAACGCGCATAAAATTATGCAGAATCCGAGAGCCCAACACATGAATCTGTGCGAGCACATCTGCTTGTGGGGATGCGAGTGCAGGTGTCCGAGGAAAGCTGAGGACGGCCATGGGGAGAGAGGGTGCAGGAGGGGGCCCACGTCAACTGGCACACACGGGCTCTCAGGTAAATGACGCCGTCCTCTGAGAGGTGAAAAAGAGCATTGTGCATCGAGGCTAGAAAGGAAAGCAAAGTGGGGGAGAAACCCTGTGCCTTTCAAATTTAGTTTTTTACGTTTTAGAATTTTAAGTCAATCTTGTTCTTCCACTTTAAAAACATTGGAAGTTGTAATTTAAAAATCCAGATGTTAGTGCTCAACTGAAGAAGGATCTCTATATCCCAATTAAGATGGCTAAAAGATATCTCATAAAACATGTTATAAAACAGAAGACTACCTAGAGGAGAAGGGGCTCTGCTGGGAATCAGAGTGTCTGTGACCAGGCCTTTCCCTTTGTGTGGGGAAAGACCAGAGTGTCTTTCCCCACAACTCAGTGGAAAAAATATCAACTACCCCACAGGGCTCTTGTGAGAAGAGAACACAGATACAGAAACCAGCACAGCGCCTGGCACACAGTAAGTGTCAGCTTTCCACTGAGTGCTAAGTTGGCCTGAAGGGATGTGTAGCTTCCAGTCAGGGATCCAAAACATGTTCAACAGAGAAGGAAATGAGATGCTTATCAAATTAGCAAATTGGCTTTATAACATGACTTGTGACTACGTTTGATGTTGAGACAACCATGACGTGTTTTAGCACGACTGGGAGATGTTCTTCCTAATGAGAGGCTTAGTTCCCAGCAGTCACGGAAATCAGTGTCACTCTGAGTCACTGACGTGAGCGGTAAACTCTGTTACACTGATGCCCATGAAAGCCTCTAACAGCCCCAGTTCATCTCCTCATAGAGGGATCCACTTGTTCAGCCAGCTGACATGAGCCTGCAATCAGCATCTTGACTGGGCAGGCCAACGGGTGTAGCTCTATTCAAATTTTAAACTAAAAATGATTAATATGTAGAGGAACTCTGTCAGAAATGTAATGAGAGATTAAATCTGAGAAGAGCAAAAGAGGAAAAAAAGTTTTGGCTGCTCGGCAGAGGCTCCCGCAGGCAGCTTGTGAGCCCATTAACGACTTGGCCTGCGTCCTGGGTGTTGACTGAGTCACAGCTTGTTAAACTTGTATATTCCCAACCATTCCCCAAAGTGTGATATACCTCATCTACTAGACGGTGGTTTAATTGCACTACAAATGCGTTAACTCAACCAACTAGAACTTCAAATACTACTAAGATATATGCCCAAGTTTTATAAGAGTGGCGCGTCACAGATAATCTTATTCCAGAATTCCACCGCCAATAAAATCTAGCAGTGCTCACACCCACTAAATCAAAATTCAGTCTTCTCTCCAATAAAGGAGGAGATCCTCCGATGACCTCCAAAACTAAAAATAACTAAAAACAAATAATAAGCAAACAAAACCCACAAACAATTGCATGCTAAAACAATTTTCTTAGGTAGAGAAGTTTCAACGAGGTCCTTGAATAAAGTATTGCAAAAATAAAACGTCAGAAAGCACTTAGAAGCCACAACACAAAATATGCCATTTGACATAATCCTGAAAACAAATCAGTGAAGCACAGAAAGGACTAACAAATATTTAAGTTCTTCACTAAGTTAACGGTGCAGAAAATATTAGAGGTTAAAAAAAATCGTAAGAAGAAACATCCCTCATGGCACAACAAAAATCGCTTTTATCTCATCTGCTCATATGCGTGATAAATGGCAATAAATGTCTATGGGATTGTTTATTGCCCTCCAAATACAGATGGAATTGGGATTAATAATTAAACTAGAGTTCTTGGGCTGTCTAAAATGGATCAGGACATAGTTTGTGTATTAATTACCCTTCCAAACTATTTATTAGTAATTTAGAAGGATCATGTCTCCGTTGACCCTATGCCATGAGAAGGAAATCATGTGTCTATAAAAATGGATCAAGGAAGGGACACCACTAATGTGATCAGACTATAGCACAAAGTTCAACCGAAAAAAAATCCTGCTGTAATATAAAGATTAAAAGAAATGTATTGTTCTAAATTTTCAACCAGCCTCTTATTTAAGTACTTCTTTCCAAGGCTGACTGCTAGTCAGATGGGAATTAGGCTAATTCTCAAGTAGTAATGCTACATATGAATGCATATATCTTCAGAGATATATACTGTATATGTCCAGATGTGTGTATATGTATCTATGTATATGCATACACACATATAGACATATGTATGTATGTCATATATAATATATATCTCATATCAACTTGTGAACCCAAAATGGCAGAAAGAAGGAGGTAGAAACAGGCATATATAAAAATTTTCCTTTACTTTATAAATTTTCCTTTACTTTACATGTTTTCCTTTACTTTATAAATTTTTACTTTATGAAGTCTCCTCCTCAACCCTCTAAAGTAACTCTAGGGTCACTTGATGTTTTCTGATGGAGCATCCAGTGAAACGTGATTTTGGCTGCACCCTATGCCAGTCAATGAAGGAGCAGTGATCTGAACACTCAGATCCCTAACAACATATATTTGGCATAAGATAAATGTGAAGAATGTTAGTACTCAGGAGTGTTAAAATACAATAGAGAGTTTTCTTGAATTACTCACCCATAGGCTCCATTACTAATCAATTTAATTGTTTCAAAATCACTTTCCCGAGGTTTCCTTCGAAGCTTCAGGGAAGTATTAGAGCTCTGGGAAACAAAATACGGAAGTTAAAAAATAGTTGAGAATTTAAGAAAATGATTTTAACAGCAAAATAAATAACACCTGAATTACATGCTGTGTTGGTGAATACGCTGAAGTGCAGTGTTCTAGCAAAGGAGCCCGGGGGGCAGCTTGAAGATCAGTTTTCCAGAGCAGTGCTGACCAGCTCCTCCTCATGCCAGTGTCTCCGCCTCACATAAGTGAACCCCCATTTCCAGGAGATAAGGCACCAAGCTTTTGAAAATTCCTTATTTTAATTTATTTCTGTAAACTATTTACGTTAGCCTCATCCTAGTCTTTTAAAGATTTTATTTATTTATTTTTTCCCCCCAAAGCCCCAGTAGATAGTTGTATGTCATAGCTGCACATCCTTCTAGTTGCTGTATGTGGGACTCGGCCTCAGGATGGACGGAGAAGTGGTGCCTCGGTGCGCGCCCGGGATCCGAACCCGGGCCACCAGCATCAGAGCGCGCGCACTTAACCACCAAGCCACGGGGCTGGCCCTAGTCTTTTAAATTTTTGAGATTTAAGTCCCAAATGCCAAACCTTCCTTCTGGTCTCATTTGGCCAGAAAAGAATGGGCTAAAGTGCTGTTCATGGGTTGGTGGATGATGGTGCTTCTCTGGCCCTGAGCAGAGTATGTCTATTTCACTCCTGTGGCAATCTTTCTTGTGTGGAAAAGGTAGTTGGCAATGAATGGGACACCCAAACACAGAATGCCTGCCTTTCTTTACTTCCATACCATAAATCTTACCACAGTTTAATTTAAATACCAATTTTCAAAAAGGTAGCTCTTTAAAATTTTAGCTCAAAGGACAAGAATAAACAAAAAAAATTTTTTTTTTTTTTTAAATTCTCTCACATCCCATGTATCCTAGCACTGAGAGGGTGTTACCAGCCTCTTAGCTCCCTCTGCAGAGCCCAGAATTCCCTTCCTATAATTTTGGAAGAAACCCCCTGACTCGGGGTATATGCCATCCTCCCCCATTCAGTGCTGTCTTCGCTGACCCTGTCATCAACTCATCTTTGGAAGACATGGGTACCCAGCTTCCCACCTTCCTCTCTGTCTGTGTGTCTCTCACCATCCTGGGTGACTTCAGAGTCTACATAGACAACTTACCAGACACCCTGGCCTCTGGGCTTCTTCACCTCTGCAACTTGAAACAACCCACTCTCTCCTCTATTTCCCCTTGGCCACTGGCCACAATGACCCACAGGACCTGGGTCTAGTCATTACCTGCCAACGCCCCATATCAGAAAACGTGGTCATTCAAGACTGCGCCACTTAGTTGTTTCACCACCCCCACTACAACTGCTCTTCCGCAGCTTTGGGCTGCAAGGTCCTGTCTTCTTACTCTTCCCCACTCAAGTGACCTCACTTACGCCCATGGACGACTCCTAAGTCACTTAGACCTCCACCAAAAACTCTCCCTCTCAGTGCCTGAAAATACTACACCTTATATACCACTGCCAGTTTGATGGCTCTTGGATGTCTCAAAGGAACTTCAGTCTCAACACATTCCAAATTATGACAGTTTTGATAATTTAAAAAAAAATCTATCATTTATTTAGCATTTACTATGTACTGTTGTCCTAACCATTTTACAGACTATCTCATTTAATCTTTTATATCTATTTTACAGATGACATCCCACAAAGAGAGCCCATAGCTAGTAAGAGCTGGTGGAGCCAGGTTTCAAATCCAAATCGGCCTCCAGAACCTGGTCCTCAGTCCCCAGGCTACACAGCTGACCCTCCTTCCTGGCTGCCCCCACCTGCTCTGTCCGGGTTCCTCTTCTGGTGTCCACAACTAAGGAAAGCAACACCAGCGTCCAGGACTTTTCACCTGTGCCACTGCAGCCGCCTCTTAACTGGCTTCCCCATGTCACCCCTGCCTGCTCCCCTCACCCAATCTACTTTCTACATTGCCCTCAGTGTGATATTTTTTTCAAGTCAGAACTCTGATTGGGTCATCTCCCTGCCCACTCCTCCTCTACCCCACATACAAATATACTTCCTCCAAAGCTCAACAGCTTACCATTGTTCTTTAAAATAATAATAATAAAAAAAAATTGACAAAGATGAATAAGGAGGACCTCTGTGTCCAGTGTTTACTCCAGCTCTCCAGTCCTTTGCTCTTAGCCCTCAGATGCACTCTGCTCCCCTGTGTCACAGTCTTTGTCCATGACGTTCCCTTGGCCTGGAATGTTCCCTCTGCCCCTTCTCATCCTAGTAACTTCTCACATCTGAGCTCAAGTGTCATTTCCTCGGGAGATGTTTTTGGACTGGCAAGACTAAGGTAAAGCTCTCGACGTTATGTTCTAGTAGCACACGGCCTTTTTTCTTCATAGATCTCATTTAAGCTTATGATTTCTATTTTTGGGGCATGATTTCTTTTTATTAATTTGTTTCTCATTGAAGAGAGGGGCTAAAACTGTATGCCTAGTGCCTTGCACATAGAAGCACAATAAATATTTGTTGAACAAATAAAGTAATTAACACAGCCAAAATCTCCAGATGCTAATCAACAGAAAAACTAACATCATATTTCATCAAGAAAGATACTTACACTCACTGATTCATCTGTTTCTGGTGTTTCTGCTGTCCCACTATCATAGTTTCCCAACTGAGCCATTTCTAAGTTATAAAAAAAAAAAAAAAGCAAAGTTTAAGAAAAATAGGGCAATTGCAATTAGACAAGAGTATTATGCTAAAGCAAAGGAAAAATAATTTCTCCAATATTGAAAAAAGAAAAATTTACTCTATGTTCCAATGTACCCATGGGAAAATCTTAAATCCAAAATGGCAAGAACCAGCAACTGATGTTTGTAAATTGCTCGTTGCGCACCCTTCCCTGGAACTCCATTTCTGATGAACACCTAGACACAGGTACTTTAGAGCTGGGCCTCTGCTCCAGCTAGCAGGATTCACTGGCTGACGCAGTCACTACAAGCTTGGAAAAGGTTTGGGGAGGTCAATGACTATGCTATCCAAAAAGAGGCAAGTCTTCCCAGGATCTGATAGGCACCCAAGATGTACTAACTACAGCTCAGAGATGATTCTCAAGTTGTGGTGAGCATCTTTCCTCCATTCCTTCACATCTACTGTGAGATATCCTGCCTAGTACACTAAGAATTCGCAGATAGTCAGAAAGGAAGTAATAGTAGTGGTTAAGAGGGGTTTGGAGACGAAAAGACTTGGGTTACCACCACTATCAGCATTTACTAGTGACCTTTTAACCTTAGGCTCTTCCCCTGTAAGATGGGAACAATATTATTTATCTCTTAGAGCTTTTTATGAGTATGATTTATGATAATGCATGTAAAGCTCTTAGCATGTTGACTGACAAAAATTAAGCGCTCGTTGAATATCGATTGTTATTTATTATTACTGATTTTATCATGGAAAGCAGTCAGTCCTGGGCTGGATGCCACCACATGCTTGACACCAGCTTAAGCACGACTCTGGCGGTCTAGTTAAAAGAGACAAAGGTGCCTAACGGCTCAACCCACACTGAACTTGAGTCTACATAAGTACATGAGAAAACTGATTAATTTTACTGTTCATTTTGATTTTTATACATAAAAAAATGTTTTATTAAAAAAAAGAACATGAAAGAATTTTCTCCAGAACTTTGATAGTGGTTACGTCTGAGGGGTAGGATCACAGGTATCTGTATTTTCTAATTTTTCCAAATTGAACACATATAATAAAAAGTTATAGTTTTTATTTACCTATTTTTATATGCATCAAATTATTTCTTAGGCTATTATTTCATGTATTCATGTTCTTATAAATATAATCATCCTTTTTTGGGAGAGATTACACATAAAAGATATGAAGCAAAACAACGTTGGACCAAGAACATACAATGGAGAAAAGAAAGTCTCTTCAACAAATGGTGTTGGGAAAACTGAATAGCCACATGCAAAAAAATGAAAGTAGACCCTTACCTTATACCATACACAAAAATTAACTCCAAATGGATTAAAGACTTGAATGTAAGACCTGAAACTATGAAACTTCTAGAAGAAAACATAGCCAGTACGCTCTTCGACATTGGTCTTAGCAACATATTTTCAAGCACCATCTCTGCCCGGGCAAGAGAAACAATGGAAAAAATAAACAAATGGGACTACATCAAACTAAAAAGCTTCTGCACAGCAAAGGCAACCATCAACAAAACGAAAAGACAACCTAACAATTGGGAGAAGATATTTGCAAACCATACATCTGATAAGGGCTTAATCTCCAAAATATATAAAGAACTCATGCATCTCAATAACAAAAAAACTACCAACCCAATTAAAAAATGGGCAAAAGACCTGAACAGACATTTCTCCAAAGAAGATATACAGATGGCCAACAGACACATGAAAAGATGTTCAAAATCATTAACTATCAGGGAAATGCAAATCAAAACTACAATGAGATATCACCTCACACCCGTCAGAATGGCTATAATTAACAACACAGGAAACAACATGTGTTGGAGAGCATGTGGAGAGAAGGGAACTCTCATACACTGCTGGTGGGAGTGCAAACTGGTGCAGCCACTATGGAAAACAGTATGGAGAGTCCTCAAAAAATCAAGGATAGAACTACCATATGATCCAGCTATTCCACTGCTGAGTATTTATCCAAAGAACTTGAAAACACCAATGCGTAAAGATACATGCACCCCTGTGTTCATTGCAGCGTTATTCACAATAGCCAAGACTTGGAAGCAACCTAAGTGCCCATCAAGGGACGAATGGATAAAGAAGATGTGGTATATATACACAATGGAATACTACTCAGCCATAAGAAACGATGAAATCCAGCCATTTGTGACAACATGGATGGACATTGAGGGTATTATGCAAAGTGAAATAAGTCAGAGGGAGAAGGTCAAATACCGTATGATTTCCTTCATTAAGTAGTAGATAATAACAACAATAAACAAACACATAGGGACAGAGATTGGATTGGTGGTTACCAGAGGGAAAAGGGGGAGGGAGGAGGGCGAAAGGGCTAATTCGGCACATGTGTGTGGTGATGGGTTGTAATTAGTATCTGGGTGGTGAACATGATGTAATCTATGCAGAAACAGAAGTATAATGATGTACACCTGAAATTTATACACTGTTATAAACCAATGTTACTGCAATAAAAAAAATAGTAAAAATAAAATAAAAGGAGCAAGGAAAAAAAAAAAAAACAACGTTAGAGTGCTGCCTTTAGAGAAAAATTAACAAACTCCGGATTCTAAAATAACTGGAGACTGACACTAACTTTCCCAGTTTATCTGTAGGGGAAATTCAAGAACAAAAATGAGCTCAGGAAAAACAATGTGGTTTCTTGGTGTCATTCAAATGCTGTCAACATCCTACACGACTAGCACTTCAGATTCACAGACTAGGAAGTGAACTAAAATGTATTTGGTTGGAGGGGCCCTCGAGGAAAGGGACAATTTTAATATTGTTTAAATAAAATGGTAACGGCAGCTAACCTTTATTAAGCTTTACTACTTCTTGGGTAGAGAGATAACTCAAATAATCCTGAAAACATCTCTAGGAATAGGTACTATTATTACCCCATTTCTACAGAAAGAACATTGAGGCACAAAGAGATTCATCAACAGCATAGTCAAGGTCACACAGCCGGCAGCCTCGGCCGCCAGGGTGCAAGCCCGGGCAGTGCCACTCCAGACCCTCACTCCTAACGGTCAAATGTCAGGCTTTAGGTTTGTTAGTGTACATGTTGACAAGAAGGGGAAACAGAGATAGATCCAAGTTTGTAATAATCACATTTTAAGTGACAACAAATAGATTAAAAACTATCCTTGGATCTGAATCAAGAAAATGAAATGTCAAGAGTTAAAAACATAACTCCCAGTGATAAATTTGTGTTAGTAAACTCGAAACTTGTCAAAGATCACTATTAATTTTTTTTTAAAGACTCTATAAAGGTACCTAAATGGGCCTCAGTTTATTCACCTACTAAAGTGCAGGCCACAGTGATATTTACTGCCAGGTAAGAGCCCACTCGGTCTGCAATTCAAGGGCTGACACAACCTTAACCACATTGGCGTGAAGAGTCACTATAATACACTTTGACAGCCTCCCCCACTCCAATTATTTTCATTAAAAAACAAATTAAAAGATGGTTCTGTTTTAAATAGAATTTCTGCTAAATAACTATTATCTGGGAAATACATATTATTTGTAAGCAGTGGGTAGTAATGGAATGGAACCAAGAGTCAGCTTTTGAAGCAGGAAGCTAAGGCATCATTTTGTAATGCCTGAAGAGATTTTTAAAACTCATCTAAATACCATTAAACATCTGCCCTTTTTATTTCATTGATTTAAACCATTTCTGAAGACTCATGATTCAAAAAGGTAAAGATGGTAATTTAAAAGCCATGGGGAAAAATCTCTCCCCAGGCAACTTTTCAGAAAAGCAGCCACCAGTCTCTGATAAGTGATGAATCTGTTGTGGTATTGCTTTCAGTACAGTATAAATTTATCTGGCATTATCTCCCAGTAATGCATGCATCATTTCACTGGAAGCAAAGATCCGATGGCCCTAAGAGCACACAAAGCAGTGGAAATAGGAGAGCAGGGCGGAGAGCAGCAGGTTCCCTGGCTTTAGATGGAGAATAGCTGTGCCAACAGTTACCATCATTACAAACAATTTAGCAAGATAAACACTGTTTGCAAATTCACTTTAATGAACCAGGAAGACAATTTCGAATGAAGGAGTCTATGATTGCTTTTGAGTCTTTTTAGGCAGTATATAACCTAAATGTTTTAAATGACAACCCCAAACAATAATGAACGGAAAAGGTGGAGGGAAGGGCAGTGGTTTCCCAATATTAGATTTTTTAAAGATCACTAACAGGGCACTTCCTCTTCTTTGTATTTAATAGCATTAGACCTATTTTTTTCATTTGAATCAACCATAAATCCTTTTATAAGCTTTAAAAAAACATTTTTTCCCCACTGGCTCTCCTGTATATTCCTATTTTTAATACTTTTGGGGGACAAGTAAGCAAAACTATATCTACCAACACGGCACCTGATTTAAAGTAATCTATCATCAGCTACATTACTTCTAAATTACTTTAAATTTAAATTTCACTTTTAAATTAATTATAATTTCTTTATCAACATTTTCAAAATTAAAAGTACGCTCAAGAAGAACCGAGAGAATAAATACGCAAAGAAGACTGAAATCTAAACCCTTGCGGGACACTCTGGCATTGCCAGGCTGACAGGCCCCTAAGATTTCAGGGCCTCTCCCCATACCCCAGGTAAACACAAAATGGGTCGTGTTCCCTTGCTCCTCCGGACTCAACTTCTACCACTTGCCTTCAAATCACAATCAGCCCCCAAATTTGGACTTTTCCATAGACAGAGCCAAAACAGGAAAAATAAAGACTCATCACATAGTTCTTCAAGGAGGCCATGGTGTGTAAGCAAGTGAAAGGAAAGTCAGCCCCACCAAGGTACTCACCTTCCAAAGGATCCTTATTGAGCCCCAGCTGGCTGATGATGTACCTGGGAATGTCAGTCTTAATGCCCTGCCCTTCTTTTGCATGGCCTTCTGCTGCTTCCAGTAGGTAGTAAAATTCTTCAGGATCAAATTCCTAGCAGAAGACAAACACAGATGGATACTTCTTTGAGCCAAAATTCTCTGAGGTTTTATTACACAAATTCCATTCACAATAAAATTGCTGGATGTACATGGTTGTGGGTTGTTTACGCAGAAAGGAGGCAAATGGCTTACTTCATTTAAAAAGTATATAATTCTCACTTCATATTCAAAGCCTATTTATATTCTAAAGCGATACATTTATGTACTTGGTAACCCAAAGATGACAACCATTTCCAATTTCCTTGTAATGCAACTTTGAAGGTACTATGCTCCACTTGACATATCTATCTTAATGAAAATGAACAGGCCTGATTTTTTAATTGTGCCTTTTTAGCAAAGTTTTAAAAATCTGTGAATCTCATCCAGAAAATTCAGTTTCTTTCTCTGCAGAAATAGCCACAAAAGGAGTAACGTTAGAATACATTTTCTCAAAGGTTTTGCAGGAGACTTCCTTATTACAGAGGTGTCCATAAACATTAGAAAGAAAAATCTCAAAATTACCACTTTTATCAGTAAACTCTAAAATTAAGTTGTTAATATTCATATAATGTGAAGATTAAGAAAAAAATATGACATTAGTGCTTCCAATTACCTCTGTCTTCTGTAAAAATTTGATAATACATTTTTTCCCTAAGTATTTTGCTTTCTTTGGCTGTCTGTTGCTTCCAGTATGTAATAAAAATCTTTAGGATCACATCACTCTAGATAGATCCGTGGATTTATGTGTTGTAAACAATTATGCCTACAGATTTAAAGCACGGTTGCTATTTTCAGTCATATTTCTTAGGTTTTTTTTTCCCCTCAGGATTTTTCTCATTTTGATTAGTGCCCCAAATAGGCAACTTTGGAATCTCAGCATTTCACCAGAGAATTACTCATAAGTTTCTAAAGGCCATATAAAAAAGCATGCTGCAAATGGGGTAAAGCTTTAAAGAGCTTTAAACTCCATTTTAAAGAGCTTTAAACCTTGCCCAAAGCGGCAACACTTGCACATCTACTTCTAAATTCACTTGCTTCTGTCTTGGAGAGGCTGTATTTTTACTTTTTCTCGTCTGATTAGAAGTGATTACTGTAAAAAAGTCATTTCCTCTTTTAAGGTAAGATCTTCTCTTAGCATATCTGCTGCTGTCTAGAGAAATACATTCTAATGATAAATGGTATTTTCCCCCAAATTAAACTGCAGGAAGTACAAGCCCGAGGTGCATAATTCAAAAGGTACAATGAGAGAAGCAGTAAAAAGTAAGTTTTCCTTCTGCCTGCATTCGCCAGTCACACAGCTCTCCTGCCCAAAGGCAGCCAGAGTACCAGAGACACTCAAGGGCAAATGCTGCTGCAGGGCCGGCCCCGTGGCTTGGTGGTTAAGTGAGCGCGCTCCACTGCTGGCGACCTGGGTTCGGATCCCGGGCTCGCACCGACGCGCTGCTTTTCCGGCCATGCTGAGGC